GTAGGAAATACATGGGCAACACTCCCTGTGCACTGCTTCTCACACTAAACTGCTCTTCCCTTCCTCTCCCTCCTCCCCCTTAGATCCAAGTTTCCTTTCCCTTTTGTTTCAGTTGCCTGGTGTTAAGAAATGACCAACTGGAGTGCTGTGAGAGGTCAAAAGATGTGGAGAGAGTGAGGGGATGGCTGGGTTCAGTGTATGTGACTTAAGCAATAGCATAAGGCTGAGCATGTTGTCAGGGATCCTGCAGAAAAAGCTATTCCTGCTGATGCTGCACAGCAAGTGCTCTCTTCCTCCCACTTCAGTCTCCAGAGCTTTCTTCAGGGGGGGTTTTCTTGCTTCTGTATTGTACAAAGCTCCTGTTCACTCCTTCCTACAGCAGTTTCCAAGAGCTGGAAGAATCCATGCCCTTTTTGCAGAAGTCCCTGTGCTTCAAGGGATTTCGGACACAGAGCCCAATGAACAGGCTGAAACTTTGGTTAAACTTTTAACCTCTCCAGCTCTTGGCTGGTAGGAATTTGTCAGTGTGGGTCCCTGAAACTGATGGGATGAGTTTGCAGAAAGGGCTCTGAGCACCAGGTTTGCTGTAGTGGTGTGGTTAATGTGTAGGCTTTGTGAAGGCCAAAGGGAAAGCAGAGGTTTGGAGCTGGATAAGATGTGTGTTTAGTGGATGCTCTGTGTGACTTCGATTTACTAGTTGTTGTTGTTCAGCCCTGGAAGCTGTGACCTGCAGGAAGCCCATTTAATCCTAAATGAATGAGCCAGCTAATGAACACAATAGGATTGGAAAGTTGGAAAGCCTGAGTGGAAGAGATCCTGCTCACTGCTTGTTGTGTCTTGGAGCCTGGTCCCAGTGAGAGGGGGAAGGCAGACACTGCTGTCAAAGTCCTGAGTCCTGAGCAGGTGAGGTCTGTGCTGGACAGAGCAGCACAGGTAAATCCTCTTGGATCAAGCAGGAAGAGCCTCCCTCATCACTGGCTTCCAGGTGAGCTGCTGGGTTGAGGCCCAGCAGTGACATTCAGAGTGGTCCTGTGGCTCCTTGACTGGCATCAGCAGGTACTGGCAGGGTTGGAGTAGAGTGTACCCAGTTTGTTCTGCTTGCTGTGTTTCTCTTCTCTTATCAATTTCATACCTGAGATCTTGTTTTGCTTTGTTTTGCTGTTTCTTGGAACTCTTTTCTTAGTGAGTTTTTTTGATCTGGGGAGTCTGACTAGAACAAGAAGATTTTTCTTCTTCAAAACAGCAAATCCAAGTGACACAGACCAATAGACCAACTCCTTAGGTGCCTGTAGGCTGGAAAAGCTCAGAAATCTTTCATGGTAATCCTCTTGGATGGCTTTCCTTCAGCTGTAAGAGGTACTTGGAGAGTGGCAATGCCAATGTCAGGTCTCTGAGAGCAGTGCCATCAGCTGCTCTCACTTTTTGGTCTATCCTGAGATACTCATGGGATTGAAGTCAAGTTACTCATTGCTGCCATTTACCTTCTGAAAGGCTGATGACCAGATAGCTGAGAGGATCAGAGCTTAGTCTGCTTGGAGTGCTCTGGATGCTGTCTGATCATCTGGTTCATGGGTTAGTAAAAGCCAAGAGAAGGGAGTTCAACTTGATCATGGTTATTCTTGGCTTCTCTGAAAACCTGCTGCACAAAAGCCCATTAGCTGCTCTGTGGTTATTATTTCATATGTGGGTAATGAAAGCCATGTAAAACACAAGTTTCTACATTGTGGCCATAATAAACAAGGTGAAGCTTCAGACAGTTCCTTATTTACATCCTGTGCTTTTGAATAATTCACCTTATGCTCAAGAATAATGATGGTTCTGCCTGCACTGCTCAGGAGCCTGGAATGAGATTGTTTCCCTGAGATGTAATTACTGTAGTTCAGCATACCTGCCTATCAGACAGGCACCTAAAATGAACAAGAGTGTGCAAAGTTGCAATAAAATGTTGGCTTTTGGGGGAAGACAGTGTTGCACCAGGAATCCAATGAGCTGTTCTTTATTTTTTTTTCCTGGTCTAAGTCAGTTTTGAAGTTGTTTGCTCTGGAAGTGAAATGCAGTGAGTCTAAATGCAATTTTAAATCCTGCTGTAATGTTTGTTCAGCCTTGGGCAGCCTTCCTGCCTTTCTTTGCCTGAGCTTTGCTGCTGAAGGGTTTGCTTATCCCAGCCACATTGCAGGGGTGCTTGTGAGAGTTAATGTGACCTGTATCTTGACCATTAACTAACACCCAAAATCTAGAACTATGCTGAAACTGAGGCTCCAGTAAGACTGGAAAAACAGTTTTGATCTCTTCTCAATAAAGTAGCAGAGCCTCTCAAATTTTATGTGCTTATAGTTCCCTGTACAGTAGGTTGAGTTTGGCTGCTCTTGACATGGTGCATACATGTGCACAAACACATCAGTGACGTGATCTTTGTGTGTTAGGGTGCTCTGACAAGCATGAAACCAAGGTGTAAGTTGTGTTTTAATTTAATTTATTCTCCTGCCTATCACAGACCTTGTTGGTGATAAAGCCCAGTAGCCAGCTTTGGTTATTGAACTTAGAGTCTTCTTAAAATGTAACTTCCTAATCTGACTGCTTTACTGTCTTGTGTTATTAAGCATTGAAATGACAACAGTGGCCTTATTTTCTGCCTACGATTGTTTTTATAGTTCAGATGGATGGAACCCTGATTCCTTAACACTTCTTTTTATTTAAAGTCTTTTGTAAAGAGCAAAAGTTCTAAGCATCCTTGTAGTCTTTGGGTTTAATTTTTTTAAGGTGAAACTGTTTCTTGGATGTAATGTCCATCGGATGGAGCTCATCTTGGTATACTGTCCTGTAAAATTGAGAGTGATACAAGCTTGAAAGCCAGAAATTTGCCCAAAAGCCCCCAAAACTTCTTGATGAATACATGAGGTTGAGAAAACTTCCAAGAAAGGGTCCAGAAGCCAGGAGAACGTTCTCCCTGGGAGCTGACAGAGCTCTGCTGGGAGCTTCATGGTCTCCATTGCCACCAACATTTTCATTTGGGAACAGTATTCACACAGTGTGGGACAGTATTTACTGTCCTTCCTATGCCCATAATGGGATTTTCTTGAACATTTCCCCTGTGTTATGCATGTCCCCTTTGGCTGATCTGAGTTGCTCCAGCCCACTGAGCCCAGTGAGCTGGTTGGAAATACTTCTGTCCATGAGAGGAGTTTGTACAATCACACCTTAGTTGCTGCTCTCTTCTTGTTCAGATAATGTTCAGACCAGGCAGGGGTACTGCTTCCAGGGGCCCCAAACTGGTGCCCATAGAAATTTGTCAAGTGTTGACTCTGGAGTCTATTAAGAACCAAAGTGTCAAAACTGATCCTTGTAACACACATGATTTAGCAGAAACTGAGTTCTTTATGCTATTGCTCTGGTGCTCTTGTCTTTCCTAGACCTCCAGCAAAGCTTTGAAGTATCTTGCTTTGAGAGCTTTTATGTTTTTCATTCTTTCTAGGAGCTGATCCTGATCTGTCAGGCCCATTACTTGTGGAAGAGCTGTAGAAGTGTTGCAGACTGAGCCACAGTGATGGCTGAGGCTGAACAAGTTCCACAGTTCATTACACATAAGCACTCAAGTTTGGCTTGTCTCTGCAGCTGCTCAGGGTGTCCTCTGTCAGCCTTCTCTGGTAGCAAATAAATTTTTTTTTCCTGCATGTGCTTTAGACTTTTCTGGTTGATGGCAGCCAGAAACTTCAGCTGAAAGTTCAGGTGAAGAGTCCAGGGAGCTTTCATTGAGCACAGGAAATGTGGGACACATCTCCTGCAAACACCCCCTACACCGGCTGTGTGGGAGAACAACACTTGGGACATCAGGGCTGATGAGAGCTGAGGATGGCTGAAGGTCCATGGAATGTGACTTGCTGGCTTATTTCCTCAGTTTCTGTTGTGGTTTCTTTTAGGGCTTTACTCAGCCTCCTGCTTTAACCCTCACAGAGTTTTAATGAAATTCATGTGTCCTTGTCATTTGTTGCCTGGGACCCAGGCTGAAAGCCCAAAGTTTGTGATAGGAGGCTTTGGCCATGGGGTCAGCAAGAGTTGGGTCACTGCTGTCTCATTTGCTTGGGTTAACTCTGTTCCCATTCAGAGAATGAAATGTGTCATGTGTTTAAGGGTCTCCTTTTGTGTTATGGAGAGTTTGGCTGATCAAGACTCTGCTGGAGAGTGTGGGCAGAACAGTGAATACCAGCATTACCTGCAGTGTTCCTTCCCCAGGCAGCAGAGAATTGCTGAAGGGCTGATGCTGGGAAAAGGGAACTCTTTATTGCCAGTTATATTGAGTTCCATGCACATTGTGTGGCCCTGGAAGGCTGTGCATGTGCATGAAGGTTTGTAGATGCTTCCTGTTTAAAGAAATGCTGTTCAGATTGAACACATCCCAGGTGTCTGCTTGCTGCAGCATTTGCTCCAGCAAAGGGCACAGCAGCAGCTGGGAAAAATGGGGAATTTGTGGAGGCTGCTGTGTGGTCCCACAGGAGCTGTTAGTGCCATTGGTGGGACTCTCAATGGGGTTCTCATAGTGCCAAGTACTAAAACATCAGTGCCTCACACTTTAAAAATATTCTTTTTTAATTTATTTTTTTTGGTAAAAGGATGACTTTGGCTTCTTTCTGCAGAGCAGCAGTTCAGTGGGTTCTCTTTGGTCCTTAAACATTTACCACCACTCCTGTACTTTTGAGCTTATCCACACTGGTGTAGCCCCTCTGGGGCTGTCAGGGGGCTGAGGTATTGTAAAAGGGATGAAGATACGGGGTCATTTCTTTATGTTCTGTGTGAGACCTGCAGATGAGATTCTGTGCAGACTGCTTTCCTGCTGAGGAAGGTCAGTGATGGTGTCACTCAGGTTTAATCTTCACAGGCTGTACACCTGCAATCTAAGTTGTTGTCCCAGATGTTTCCTTTCTTTAAACACCTTTTCCTGGTGTTTTGGTTTCCTTCTAGGATTTCTCCTTATACCAAAACCCTCTTTTTTCCTTGATTCACAGGCTCACCTTTACACAAGCAGGGTACCACATCCACCACCAGCGCCGAGAAGTCGGGTTCAAAGGTTGCCGAGGTGGGCGATGATTTCCTGGGAGACTTTGTGGTGGGCGAACGTGTCTGGGTGAATGGAGTGAAGCCAGGTGTGATCCAGTACCTTGGGGAAACACAATTTGCTCCAGGCCAGTGGGCAGGGGTCGTTCTGGATGACCCTGTGGGTAAGAATGACGGCTCTGTCGGAGGAGTGCGGTATTTCGAGTGCCAGCCGCTGCAGGGCATTTTTACGCGGCCGTCCAAGCTGACACGGCAGCCCGTGGCCGAGGGCTCGGGCAGCGACGCCCCCTCCGTGGACTCCCTGACAGCTCAGAACTTGTCACTGCACTCTGGAACAGCCACCCCACCCCTGTCCACCCGTGTGATCCCGCTGAGGGAGAGCGTCCTGAACAGCGCCATGAAGACGGGCAACGAGTCCGGGTCAAACCTCTCGGACAGCGGCTCTGTGAAAAAAGGGGACAAGGACCTACGGCTTGGGGATCGTGTGCTGGTGAGTCGATTTGGGAACGGCAAAGGACGAGGGTTTGTCCCCCTGCTGAGTGTTCCTGTCAGCTGCAGGACGAGACAAAAGGAGGACAGGGTGGGTGGTGAGGTGTGGGATGGAGCGTGGTCTTGGGAGGTGCCTGGGCCAAGCAGGCATCAAACATCTGCACTGTTACTGAGGATGCTGCATCTGCTGCACGTGTCTCTCTCTCACACTGGTGTGAACACACACGTGTGTGTTCCAAAGTACTTCTTTAACTGGACAAGTCCTGAACTATAGAAAGATGTCAGAGAGAGAACAACTGAAATATGAGGGAAATAGAAGCACAATTATTTATTATGTTCTAATCTCGTGGTACTCCATAATGGAATGTATTATTTGGGCTTTCAAGGAATTTGCAGCAGTGTCTTGTGGCTGTGCATAGTCTAAAAGGACTTGCAAGAATCTCTCCTGCTGGTCACTCTTTCTGGTGGTTCAGTTTTCTTATGTCAGATGTGGCACAAAGTCCTTTCCTGTACAGAAAGGAACTTCCAGTAATTTTTAGAAGATGGCAGGACTTTGGGAGAGGTCACTGTTGTGATGGATGAGTTATCCACATCTGATTTCTATTGTTATTTTCATCATTTGGAATACACTACCTGATGACTAAGCCAAAATGCCACACTTGTACTAGGAATGGGTTACTGGAAGTTTGTCACCTAGTTTGTCATTATTTGTTCTGTAGCAAAGGAGATGAAGAAGGGAAAGAATGATATCAAAGATAGGAAGACTGAGTTCTGTCCTGCAGCTCTGTAAGAGAGTTTAGATTTGTTAGTGTGTGTGATACACAGTGTGATATCAAATATTGGAAGAGCCAGGCATTTGAGCACAGATCTGTGACTGTTGTATCCCCAGTAATATCTCTGCATCTAAAAGGTAAAGGTGGCTCTAACCAACAACCATGACAGTCTTTGCACGTCCTGGATAATCTGAATCCCATTTAAAGTTATCCATGTAGTGTTTCACCTGGTTCCAGTAGCAGCAGTGGTTGTGGGGGAGGGCAGACAGGTTGGACATGTGTTTAATGGCAGGAGTTTGGCTCCACAGTCACTGTGAACCAGGAGCATGTTCAGGGACTGTCAGAACCAATCTCAAATGTCCTTTTGGGACGACTGGGTAGTCCAGTAGTTTTTATTTTAGTTATATAAAATATAAACAATGTAAAGTTGGTTATTTTCAGAGGAGTGAAAGAGAAGATTGGTTCTGCTTGTGCTCACTGGATGATGCTTAGTAAACCTGGTGTGAATCTGTAGCTGTGTAGAGTTGAGAGAGTTTTATTTTTCCAGATTTTCCCCAAAATGTGCACAGGAGCTGAGACTTGCCCAGGGGTCTGTCTGCTTCCTGATTTCAGTAGAGTTGGCCTCTCATCCCTCCCCATCCCTACTGGCAGCAAAGCTGCTGCTGTCCCTGCAGTCCCAGGACAGGGAGGGCAGGGAGAGGTGGCAGCACCCAGCACCATTCTCTGTGTGCACAAGTTCATGTTGGTGTTACAGCAGCACACGGGGGAAAAATGAACCTGAGGATCTGTCCTCTTTGTATGAGTTTATTTGCTCCCATTTTCTCCTTTACCTCTTGTAGAGAGTGTGGGGAGTGTTCAGGTGAGAACTTATGACTTCAGAAGCAGCAGTCATTAGAAGGCAAACTGCAAAATATAAAATCTATGTTAAACCTGGCTCTGTTCTTACTGAACCAGGCAAGCAATGGAATGATGTTCTCCAGACTTGTTTTACCCCTTTCTTCTCCTCACCATAAAGTCTCTGAGACAGGACCTGTTCCCTGAACATTCTGCTCACCCCAGCAGGGCCCAAGAGTGAGTTTTGGCATAGCCACAGCATCCAACCTGGGAGCATCTCTCCCCAGGCTTCTGTTGAGTTGTGTTTTGAGAATGGTTTGGGTTTTAAATTTGTTTTTAATGAGGGTGCATCCTTAAAAGCCTGCCTTCCCTGCCTGCTAATTTATCCATCTCACATGTTATTAGATAAAGTTTGTGCTGTGACTTGTTAGTGTAATAAATAGCTCCAAAAGAGTGAGCCTGGATTAAGCTTAGTCTCTCACTGGTTCTAGCAGGAACACTCAGCTTACAGAAACATCAGGAATTGTTTGCACACAGTCATAGAGATCCAGGAAAAGAGCAGATAATAACAAGAAGAAATAATTTGCTGTTATGGTTCATTCACATGTACTTGGCTTGGCAGCTTTTATTTTACTTATGGGAAGTGTCAGTTAATCATGTTGGGTATTAGAATACATAAACAATAATTCTGAATTCACCTGGGTTCCCTCAAATTCCTTGAGCAAATCTTTGCTCATCCTCTATGGATTGGTGCAGTTTTAGTTGTCTTTATTGCTTTTAGTGTTTGCTTTTCTGAAAGAGTGTGTTTTTATTTAAGAGTGGCTTTTAGATGTATGGGATCCACCAAAGGCTTTTCAGATGAGGGAGGACATGTTTTTAGTGATTTCTTGTGATGGAGCACAAGGCGGCAGGGGACCCTTCCAGGTTGGCCAGATGGACACCTGGCTCTGCAGCCTGGCCATTTCCTGATGGTGCCTTTCTTCAGCTTCATTAAAGTCCATTATAGCTTGAAGGCGATTTTGCTTTTCAGTTACTTTGCTGTAAGATCCTCTCTGACTCTCCAGCAGTTGCAGAAAGTGATTTTCAGCTTTCCATTAGAAGCTTTCCATTAGAAGAGTTAGATAATATTTGCCTTTGGCACTTTTTCTCAGAGATGTAAAAAATGCATTAAAGAGATGAAAAATCCACCCTAATATTGTGGAACTCATCTCTTGAAGTCTGGCAAATAAATATGGGACAATTAACCTTTGCTTTAGCGACAGTGGAGCTCCCAAAATGGGATAATTGCTGAAGTTCTGTTAATGTGAGGCTGGCTTATTGCCTTTCTGCAGGGAAAGAAGGGATGGAAACAGAGCAGTGGAGCATTTTCTGCCTGGGAGGAATTTCTGCTTGGTTTTTTGCCTAAGAAAATGTATTTTGCATTCTTTGTGGAGAGGCCTTCTTAGCAACTGAACTCATTCCCCTTAAATTGCTTTCTGAAGAAGTGGGGGAAGTAGGTGGTTTTATTATATGTCAGCCTAAATAAAAAATAATTTAAACAAAAAAATCCCTCTTAGAATAGGCACTCTGCCCTTCAGCCATACTTGTATTTCCTGACTGGAATTGTGCACTTCATCACTGAAGTGGAGTAATAAACAGGGCTGTTTAAGGGCCAGGTTATATCCCAGTGGCTGGTTCAGTTGCTGGGGGGGATTGCCCCGGGTACCTTTTGGATGGATCCCAGGTTTGTGATTTTGCTGGAACTTGCAGATCTTCAAAGCCAGTGCAAATGCTGGAGCAGCAGCATTTCAGGGAGCATCAATGCAGCAGCATTTCAGCTGGGCAGGGCTGTGTGGAGCCTGCCTGGCTGCTGGAAATGCATCCTGCCTTCCCCCTGAGCATGTGGCTTTCATCATCTGGTCTGTCTGCCGAGAACTGTTCCTGCCTGCAGAGTGTTGCAGCTCCTGGTAAATGAGGGAAAGCACTCATGAATAAACTAATCAAGTTTTTTCTTCAGTATCCCCCCACATGTCCCTGCCACAGCCCAGCTCAGCCATCCCTGAGCTGCAGAAAGCATTGAACCTCCTGAGTGAGAAATAATTTCCTGAGAAGCTCCCTGGGCAGGAGAATTGCAGCCTAAGCCCTTCTCCCTGGGCAGAGACAACTCACTGCTCTGCTGCCAAAGTCCCTGAGCTATTTCAGTGCCTGAGACTGAGGCCTTGTTGCTGGAAAGACATGCAAGGTGTCACGAAGGAAGGATTCCTGCTCTTTATTTTCCTGGTTAACCATTGGAACTCTCCCAGTTTGTGGAGTCCTAGAGGTGCAGCAATGCTGCTGTGTGGCTTTTTCAGACAAACAATCACCAGGCACATTCCCTTATTGCTAATCAGGCAGAAAAGAAGGAAGGATCCCATTCTGCAGTTTTATCAAGGCAGCATTCCTGGTGTTCCACTGCCTGCTTAGAGCTCCATCCTTTAGACCACAATTGCTGTGCTGTGACTAGAGAGTGTAGCAGTGTGGGAATGATGGATCCCTGTCCCTATGGAAGTTTGTGACAGGCAATGGAAGTGCAGTGTTCCAGCTGTTTGCAGGAGACAAGGAAACCTCTAGGACTTCTAGTCAGAGCTCTTTCCTCACTATAGGAGATTGTTGCTGGAAAGGGGCTTTTTACAGGAGTGTGTGGAGTCAGGATAAGGGGGAATGGCTTCAAACTGACAGGGTAGGGCTAGATTTGTATTAGGAAATATTCTTCCTGGTGAGGCCCTGGCACAGGTTGTCCAGAGAAGTTGTGGCTGCTCCATCCCTGGAAGTGTTCAGGGCAAGGTTGCATGGGGCTTGGAGCAACCTGGTGTAGTGGAAGGTGTTCCTGCCCATGGCAGGGGATGGAACAAAATGAACTTTAAGGTCCCTTCTAACCTAAACCATCCTGTTTCTATGCAGTGAAATAAAGAGAGAAATAAATAGCCCAAAGCAGCTGCCCTGCCCTGCTGCCACATTAATCCTTGGAGGCTCTTTGTGCACACTCTCCTACCCATTCATTTGGGCTGAGACACTGCCTGGCCCTTGTCTGCTGGGTGCAGTATCTGTAGTTAAATAGGAGTTGTAAGTGGGCTGTGATGGAGCAAACTGTGTTACTAACATGGGCAGACTTGGTATTGGAGACAGCCCCAGGAGGGGATGCTGTAATTCCAGGCTTTCCTCTTACACCACCTCCCTAGGATATTATTTTCTCACTGGTGCCTGACAGATAAATGCACAGAAATGTCTTGCATCAGCAGTGCTGTCAGACTCATTGCTGTGCAATGCTGACTTGTGCTGTGGGGATGGGTAGGCACAAAGATAAGTGGTTGGATGAAAAGAAGCTATAAAAATTCCTGTAGCTTCACATACAGAGGGCTGGCCTGTAATTACTGGCTGCCTCTTTCTCCCCTTACCCTAAAAGCCAGTTCTGGCATTCTCAGATGACATGGTATTTATCTGATCAGATAAAGCTGCTGATGGCACATGGAGCTAAGTTGTATTTACAGATAAACCTGACCACAAACCAGTTCTCCACCTTTCACCACTGCTGTACACTGGCCCTGGCTGCAGCTGGGACACAGCCCCAGTGTGTGATGGCCACATCTCCCATAGCTTCACACATTTACCCCCTTGCATTTACAGGTCATTATTTCAGGTGATCTGGTCGTTATTTCAGGTGATCTGTAGTAGCTGGACCCAAGGCCTGTGCCTTTGCTAAAATCAAATATTATTGTACAGTGACATTCAATGCTTGGAAGAGCTAAACTGTGTATGATGGGAAAGCCCAGCTCCTGCCTCTCTCAGTTTGGGTGGAAATAGAATCCATTAGTGGGCAGATTAGTATGGGGAGAGGGAAATAAACCCAGCCATTTATCCCCAGGGAAAGGATGGTTGCTCCAGTTTAGATAGAGCCTGCAGGTACAGCTCAAACCAGAACAAGCCACACTTGGCCAGTAAAGGTGATTACCAAGTTCTTGTTGGCATCATCCTGTAACAGAGTGGATAAGCTGATGTGCTGCACACAAAAAGTACTTGAAGGTCCTCAGAGTGTGAAGAAAATGTCCTGTGTGTGCTCTTCTCCCCTGCCCCCTTCATTCCTCTTTCCACGGGGAGCAGCAGGAGATTCTTAGGGCTCTGCTGGGACACACCAGAGTGTGCTGGGCACTTTCTGTTCCCACCTCCACCCTCTGGTCAGCAGCCCTGTCTTGGGGAAACGCTTTGAAAATCAATTTAAATGAAAAAATTAGAATTACATAGAAAGGACAGTGTTATCTCTGGATTTCTGCATGGGAATATGATCAAGCAGGTGCCTCAGCCATTGCTGACTCCTGAATGTGTGTGACATGGTCAGGGACAGTCCCTGTTGGCCTCAAAGACACAGAGAATTTTATTTTTCTCTTCTTCCTGAGCAGTATTGGAGTGTATTGTAAGCAAAGCAATGCCTACAGGCCATAGGGTGAGGGCAGCTCCCAAGAGATTCCTGCTTGGAGCAAGAAACTGCTGTGGGATGAGCAGGGCCATGAGAGCAAAGAGCAAATCTGGGCTGGAGGGATGTTACTCACAGCAGCCAGACTGAGATCTGTCCTGCTGCTAATTTGATAAATAGTTTAAATGATATGTTAGCTCTGTTGAAGGCAGTGTCAGGAAGGGTTAGCATCGTTGTCTTTTCAGCCCTGGGATACTGCTCTGGATCCCATTTTGTCATTTTGATGGGAAAAGCATATTAAAATGTGATGTCAATGATACTACAATTAGCAAGGAAGGTGTAGATGTCCTTCCATGCCTGCATGTTGCTGACTCAGCAGTAGATACCGACCTGCTAAATATCCTTGGCTTCATTTTGTGGTGAAGGTAAAGCCCAAGACCATCCCTTAAACTACTGGGGATGTTTCATTGGGGAAGGGACCAGTCAGCATGATAGCCTTTGCTTAAAGGCATGAAAAAGGGGGCAGAGACCTCCACTCAGGAGCTGAATATTCCAGCAGCTCCAGAGGCTGCTCAATTCCAGCTGAAGAGGAAGGGCTACCACAAGCTTGTTTAAACTTAACCATAAGTGTTTTCACCTGAAGTGGAGAAACTTGGAATGTTGATACTGGTCAAAATAATCTCCAAAACAAAGAATCTAGTATCACTGTGTCAATATTGTTTCAATTTTTTGGAACTCCCAGAAAGAGCTCTTTTTAGCTGCTTTATACTTGTTTTTTGTTGTTGTTTTTCCCAAAACAACTATAAAAGCAGTAACACATTATATTTGGAAAAATCCCATTCTCTTGGGCATGAATAATCTCAGCAATAGTTTTGATAACTATTAAAGGCTTCTCAGAAAAGCTTTGGGAGTTTTGCTCATTTTTGAGTGAAACTTGTCAACTCTAAAAGCCGTGACACATCTGAGCTGAGGTTGGTGGCAGCCCCGTTAATTCTGTGCTGCCCAAGGCTTTAGCAAGAGAGGGGTTTCCCTCTGCACCTTGTCCTTGCTTCACTCCAGACACCAGGCATGTGGAAGATGTGGCTGTGACTGACAGTGGGCCAGGCTGAGAGATGCAGACAAGTTCCCCGTGGAGGAATTCATGACTTGGAGTGGCACTGATGCCACCATCAAGCTGGGATGTTCTGGGTTGAAATCCTCAGGTCTCCATGCTCAGCTGCTGGGTTATAGACAGTGGTATCCAAGCCAGGCATGGGCAGAAGGATGGCTCTGAGCTCCTGAGTTATGCCATGCCATTACTAACTTCCCTGGCTGCCTTGTGATACCTCTGATTTATTGAAGGGTCTGATAGAATCAAGCATTCTGTTCTGATGATACCATTTCATACACAGGCACAACCTGCTGACTGGCTTCTTCAAAGCATTATTTATTTTAGCAGCATTAGCTGAACAAATCTGCATGTCTGAGATGGGTGAATTTTCTGGGCTCTCCATCCATCAGAATTTTTGCATGCCTGCCAAAAGATGGGAAGTTCAGCAAGAGGCTCAAGCAATGGTGTGCAAGTGTGCCAGCCTGATCTTGGCTCCTGACTGCACTGCCCAGGCCCTTGGAGAGCAGATGTGTCTGCCCTGGCCTGGGGAGAACACGGTGCTGTATGGCAGGGTGTACTCTACAGAGAGAACTCCCAGAGAGGATGGCAGAATAATGGAAAGTGAAGATAGAGCACACTGCTCTGGAAGGAGGGAATCATGTGGTTATTCAGGGGAGTTTTGGACCTGCTTTGTGCTCAGAGTCTTCTCTGACATGGGGCTTTTGGGTGGGACCATGACCACTCAAATCTGTCTTACTGCCCACTTTTAGTGCTGATTTAAATAATATGTGCATCAGGTCAGTGGGGCTAGTTTTTTACTCTCTTGGCTGGAAACAGCTTTCTCAAATAGCTCCCAGTGCTGGGTACATAACTGAGTGATCCTTTGTGTGGCTGGGAGAGTGGGACCCTGCAGTGGATGCCATGGTCACACTGATGGAGGGAGATCATTGGTGTTTTTAAGGCTTGCATGACACTCTGTCAGGGTCATATGGCTTGGTAAAGGAAATATCTGATTCAACATCTGGAATTAAAACACAAAAATAAAATTGGGGGAACACATCAGCAGTGGTAAGTTCCTGTGAATGACATTAAGACATTAAGATTAATTACACTTATATTGAGTTCAACTTGCAGCTAAAGAAATGTGTTAGAGTGGCATTAAATGATTGAATTAATATTAAGAGGCTAAATTTGTATAAACTCAAATAAATCAAAATAGGGACTGGCATTTAACTATGAGTGTTAAGTAAAGAATTCAGTGCAACTGTTCAAATCAGTAACCTGCCAAGTATCTAATACTGAAATGGAATTGTCTTTTTATTCCTGGGCACAGTATAGAGCCAGAAAGTTTTCTTATGATCCTTTTCCTGCTGACAAATATTTTATCCTGTAGCAAAGAGAACATCCCCAGAGATTTTCTTCCATAAGCAGCAGTGCTCTGAATCCCTAGTGAGAGAAATTCCAGAATTAACTCAAGCTCTATGCTGCAGCTTGCCAGGGCTTGAGGTAGGACCCAGACTTCGAGAGCTGTGCTGTTTAGTCCATAAAGGTGCAGTTATTTTAAGTCTGGGAAAACTCTTTTTTCCTTTGCATAAGTAATTTTTTAGGGATTTAGAATTGGTAAATCTAACATTCCTACCCTGGAATACACAAACACAGAGATTTCTACATTTGACTCTTACTGTTTTCTGTAGGAAAATAATGCTCTGTTGATACCTTTTTATGTTCAATTTAATATTAAGAAAATTAGTAACTGTGAGTCATTGAGGATGAAGCTGTAAATTTAATTTTAAATTTATTTTTAAGCTTTCTTGCTTGAATTTAGATATTAGCAGAGATAGGCTAAAAAGGCTTTGATCATATGCTGATTTACTCGAAGTATGAACCTTTAGAACCACCTTCCTTCTTTTCTGTCTTCCTTTTCTCAGCCCAAATGTCTAAGTGGGAGTGTTTAGCACAGAGGCAGCTGCTGCTCAGTGCCATTTGCTCTTGGAGCAATGATCACAGCTCCCGAGGTTCCTGACTTTTCTCCTTGAGTCTCCTCAGTAAACTGCAAACTTCAAGAACTTTTAAGTGTAAATTCAGGAGAAAAAGGTGTGATTTATTCTTATTTCTCCATGGTGGGGGAAGAAACCTGTGCTGGAGGCAGTGAGCTGAGCCCCACTCCCATGCAGTTTGTCAGCACTGTGAATTGCTGTAGGAAGTGTAGATAAAAGTGGAACAACTCTATTTTGAGCAGTTTCTACATCCTGGGAGCAAGCTGAGGAGCAATGAATGCTTTCCTGGCTCAGCTTCCTCTTGCTGTCGTGTTCCAGTATTGCCCAAAACTGTTGGCTGAATGAGCACAGGTCTGAAAACCTGTCAGTGCAAGTCATTGTTCTTCAGGCAAGGCAGGTATGAGCTGTGCCTGCAGGGCTTAAACTCCTTTGTGGCCTCACAAATAACTTGGTGTAATTACTTGACACCTTGAAATATGTTTTCATTATATTTACTCTGATATCTTCCAGGCAGGCAGTCCCAAAATCACTTTGTAGTTGTTGGAAAGACAAACTTTAGTGCTGGGAGAACTTGGTGTGAGTGAAATCCGCTGATTTCATCAGATCTGAAACAGAAAATACAGATGTCTTGTCCCCCCCTCTCTAAATACCTGTCCCAGCCTCAGTCCCCTTGTGTCAGTGCCAGTGCTGCCATCTCTAATCCTGCTCATCTTCTCTCTGCCAGGTCGGTGGGACAAAGACAGGAGTCGTGCGCTACGTGGGAGAGACGGACTTTGCCAAAGGAGAGTGGTGTGGAGTGGAGCTGGATGAGCCCCTGGGCAAGAATGATGGGGCAGTGGCTGGTACCAGGTACTGTGTGCTCTGAACCCCCAGCCCAGGTCCTGCACACCTGCTGGGGGGGCTGGGGGGCAAATGCCATCACACCTGGGAGCAGAGTTAGGGCTGAGTTTGGTTGGACGTTGTGGGCTGGGAGGATGAGTCTAATTTTGAGTCTCTTAGGCTTTTGGGTTGCCTTGCAGGGAGATCAATACAAACCTCATCACTGGGCCATTTTAAAGCAGGATCAGATAACTTCTGTGAAGGAGGAACCTGAATGGCTTCAGGAAACAGGAGAAAGTAGGGAGAGAAGATAACTTACAGTGGGATTTAATTTTTGCTAGAAATTGATTCTGTTAATTGTGTTAACTCTACTTTCTACCACACATTGCTGTCATAAACTTTCTTCTTGTACTATAAGTCACCCTGTCAGAACTACAAAAGACAAAGATTTTACTTTCTTTCCTCCTCAGCTTAATGTTTCATTCTGTTCTTTCTGGGAACAAATTTCCAGAGAGCTGAAAGAACAGTTGGTGGTTGTTTTCTGTCCTTGTACTAATTCTGTAGTGTGATAGGTGTCTGCTGATTGATCTTAGCACCTCTGACTCCTTAGGCACCTCCACTCTTTTCTTTTCCAAAAAAGACTTTGTTAGTCCCTATAAAACTAGGCAGGGACAGCTCACAGGCTTTCTGGAAAGCTCTTTCTGTTCATATGGAATTTAGTTAACAGAATGACCCAGGCCTTGGATCTTGAGCTTGGTGGTGTTAAATCTGAATTACACAGCAGCTCCTGGATCGTGCTTCAAATAGAGGTGCAACTGATTCCTTGTCCTACACGAGTTCCTTAAGTGGGAATACTCTTGGTTTCTTGGAGCTTCTGAAGGCAGTCTGGCTTTAGAGGTGAGATTTATCTTTCACAGAATTAACTAGGTTGGAAAATATATCATCAAGTCCAACCTATAACTTTGAAACTGAGGAGCTGAGAGTTCCAGCCTTGTTAGATCTCGGGTTCTGTAGTGAAGGTTTCTTATGTAGGGTCAGCCTTGTTGTGTCCAGCAGCCACGGGCTTTCATTTAAATGAAGAGAAAAGCTGTCTTGTTCCATGTCAGGGCAAGAAAGCAGTAAGTGATTGGCAGCAGATGGCTGAGTTTCAGCCTGTTCTCAAAATAAAAGAACCAGGATGGTAGAGAATAAATCATGGAATGAATGCAAGTTCCTACTTCCTTTATCATACAATTCAAACTATCTGGTAGATTAATCTTCAGGGTGCTCAGAACTTATTTCTTGTCTGTGCATGTGGAAGGTGTGAAAGGCAGATGTGAGTGTAGTGTAGTCTGCCTCTCATCCTCTTAATAGTGTTTCTGTGTTTTGGAAGTCATCTTTCTTCTGAAACTGCTGCATCTTGGCTGAGGCTGTTCTGGTCTGCAAAGGTTTTCCTTTGTTTCACACTGTTTAGAGCAAGGCTGCAGCATTGTCCATGTCTGTCCTTCATCCAGCTTTTTGATTTTCTTGTATTTTTTTGTGCCCATTTCAACAGCAGTGGTTTGCAGAAGCTAGCATAGTGAAACCAGCTCCCTTGGTGCATGCAGGCACCTCGCAGTCAGTCTTCCCTGTTTGCTGTGGCAGCATGGAATTCTTGAGGCTGTGCTGATCCTGTCCTGCCAGGATCAGCCTGGGCAGAGGCAGGACTCTGGAGTCTGTGCTTTGGTGATCGTTGCCATCTAGTGAGCATCCCTGGCCTGGCCAGCAAGCCCAGCACTGCAGCTGCAGAAGGAGGGTGAAGCCAAAACTGCAGCTGAAGACACTGGGGCTGCTGGAAGCAGCAGGGATGTCACAGAGCCTTTGGTGACATTGCCCACCCTGGCTGTCATAGGCAGCTCCACCTGAGCTGGTGAATTGGCTGAAATCTGTGGTGGGTCATTGCTTTTCCTGCAGGTTCAGGTGTGCATGTGCATCAGGGAAAGGCCCTGGGGCTGGGCTTTCCCAGCAGCTCTGGCTCTTCAGTGGAAGCTGCCTGCAGGCTGTGGATCAGCAGCAGTGGCCCAGGGGACACTGTGGGGAGCCCCTCTGTACATCAGTGGTCCTCATTTGCACTGAGGTTTGCTGCCCCTGCTTTCCTGTCTGCTCAGGAGACTGCAGAGGTGCTGGTGTGGTTTGGTTTGGTGTCAGTTCCACAAAGCCAAGCAAGTTCCATGCACTCATCTCCAATAATTTAAACGTTTCCTGCTTATTTTACTGTTCTCCCTTCTTTCTCTGCTCCAGTCAGAGTCCTTGCTCACTAAAGTGCCCAGACCTTTTACTTTTGCATTGTTTGTCAGCCTTGGACATTGAAGATTTTTCCATCTATTTCAACATTTCCTGTGCTGTTTTCCACCTGCAGTTTGCATTGCCATCACACCACCACTTCTCTGCCCTGTTTCCTCCCTGTAATGTGAGTACAGAGCTCCTCCACACTCAGTCAGAGCAGCTCTTGGTTTTCATGTAGATTTTTTTTTTTTCCTGCCAAGTGGTTTGGACTCAATTCCTGCTTCTGAATTATAAAAGTTAATTGCAACCACTTTCAATCTGGACTGAAAGAAAATGGGCAGACATAGTGATGCAAGTTTGAACTTGCTAAGAGGTGTCAGAAGCTTTTAAGGAAATTAACATTTGGGATTGTTGTGCAGCCATGAGTACCAGTCTGTGCTTACACCAGGCAGAGCTGTGTTTGCCTGCTGGAATTTGGGAAAATGATGCTGAGCAGGGCTTTGGCAGGTTTGCAAGAGGTCAGCCTGTGCCATGGCTGGTTTTCCAAACCCAAGGGCCTGTGTTGGCAGGAAGTTGAGGAGGCTGAGAGATTTGGGGTTGTTTAAAGTTTGTTACAGAAAAAAACCCGGATCTGAGCTGATGTTTAAAAATTAATTTTATTCTCATCTGGCTGGAGATCAAGCTGTTCTCTGGCCTCCCAAGCACACGGGGGTCTGCCTGTGACACAGCTGTATGGCTGCCAGCACTTAAAAATAAAAGGCAGTTGGGGAAACAGCTGCTCACATCTGGAGCGAGAGAAAACTTGTGCTAGTAAAACTGGATTTATGTAATTTAGTCATTAGAACCTGTTTTTTTATATTAACATAGAACAGATTGTTTTATGACCCAGTATTTAGTCCCACTCTTGCTGGGAAGCCTATGAGAAAGCTCTTACAGGAGCTTTTTGTGTTGGCTGCTCCCCTGAAAATAGAGTTCACAATGCTGGAGGTGATCTTGCTGCAGTGCAGCTGGCCAGCAGCAGATGGACCTTGGTTTATGCTGGTCAGCCAAGGCCCTGAAGGAGTTTCCAGAGTTTGACCCTGAGTTGTGGCTCATTTTTATTCTGTAAGAGGGCTCTGGAGAGACAGAATCATTGGGCTCACTGCAGTTGTGGAGGAGACCATGCACTGTAATTATCTGGTCCTCTCTTTTCCATGCTTTCATCTTTCCAAGTTTGTTTGCATAGGAAGCAGTTTCTCTGCCACCCAAAGGAGGTGGCACATGCTGGAGTTTGCTGTAATGGTGTTTTTAGCTTCAAAGGTTTGAGCTGTTGTTTTCTCCTGTTTCAGTAGGAAAGATTTTTACACTGTGGAACATTCATACAGAACTGTGTGATTCAGATCTTTTTATTTGACAGAGTCACTGGGTGGATCACAGAGTCACTGGAAGGGACCACAGTTGGTCATGTAGTCCAACCTTCCTGCTCAGGTTATCCCTGAGCACATGGCACAGGATTGTGTCCAGAAGGTTCTGGAATATCCCCAGTGTGGGAGACTCCACACCTTCTCTGGGCAGCCTGTTCAGGGCTTGGTTACTGTACAGGGAAGAAATTCTTCCTCGTGTTTAGTTGGAACTTGCTGCCCATGGCCTCTTGTCTCAGTGCTGAGCTCCCTGGGGTAGAGCCTTGTCCATCTTCTGCCATGTCCCTGCAGACACTTCTGTGCATCACTATCTTCAGAGCAGGGTAAAGAGCACACACGGGTGTTGGGAAGGTTGGCAGGTAAGGAAGGAGTGCTTGTGCTGTGGCTGTGTTTGTGTTCTGGGGTATAAGGGATATGTGCTCTCCAGGCCACCAGCTGTGGCTTTGCTGGCATCTTATCAAAGTGCACAGCAATTAGTGCTTGGCAATTACCTCAGGTCTCCCTGCTAAAACACCACAAATGCAAACATGGGGATTGCCAGCACTATGAGTAGGAAAGGAGAATAATCCAACTACCTGTACACAGGAAACGATGCCCCAGCAAAGCCCCTGGAGATGAGCTGAGGGCTGGGGTTCTGAACTGCCTGGCAGTGCCATTCTGCAAGGCTTGGCTGAGATGGCAGCTCTGCCCCTTCTCACTCGCTGCATCTCCTGCATTCCAGGTATTTTCAATGCCCACCCAAGTTCGGGCTCTTTGCTCCCATCCACAAGGTGATCCGGATCGGGTTCCCATCAACCAGCCCTGCCAAGGCCAAGAAGAGCAAGAGGATGGCCATGGGAGTGTCAGCGCTGACCCACAGCCCCAGCAGCTCCTCCATCAGCTCCGTCAGCTCCGTGGCCTCCTCGGTGGGGGGCAGGCCCAGCCGCAGTGGGCTGGTGAGTCACCCCTGTGTGCTGCCTGCAGCCTCCGTCTGCCTTTGTCCCCCAGCAAAGCAGGAGGGTTGGGGTTTCCCTGCAGTGCTGCTGCTCCTTCACCATTCAGGGGGCGAGGGGAGTGGAGTGTGGGATGGTGTTACCCACCTCACTCATTGTCTCCTTCCATGGCTCCAAGCATCCCTGACCACCAAAGAGCCTGAAGTGCAATTTGCAGTGGGATTAATCTCAGTTCTGCTGTCAAGAGCAGGTTTGTAAGGGATCCCTGCAGGAAAAGGACACTGTTTCCAGTCTCACATGGTCATGCTGCTCCACTGGCCAGCCGTGCAAAGCTCCTGCTGTGCCTGTCTTGCTGTGCAGGGTGACAATGTCCTGGGTCACACGCCTGGGGTTTTGGCAGCTGCTCAAGCAGGCAGAAAGCAGAGCAGTGATATTATTAAAAGTTCTGGCTCTGCTGTGGTGTTGCTGCAGAACACCCACAGCCCTCTTGGCTGGGTTCAAGGTGCAGTGTCATTCCTGGGAGTGGATTACATAACCCCATACTGGTCTCCACTTGAGATCAATCTGCCCAGCTGAGCTCACTTCTTGGGATTTCATCAGTGCAGGCCATCAATAAAATAGGTCTAAGAAGGCAGATGATACAATGCATGATAATTTTCCTGACCCAGTTCCCACCCCACGTTCTGCCCTTTGGGAAATGGTGCTTTCATTGCAGTGCAGTGTGTAGAGCTCGTGAGCTCTGTCCAGATGTTTCTCACACTTAACCTCCCCTGTAGGGCCCAGAGCTGGAACTGCAGCTCTGTTCAGCTGAATAAGTGACCATTAGGTGAGCAGCATTCCAGACTTAACAGGGGACTTCAGCTGTTCTAGACTGGAAAGGACCCAGCTTTACCCATCTCCTTTTAACTCTCTTCCCAGCTGACAGAGACCTCTTCTCGATATGCCAGGAAGATCTCTGGCACCACAGCTCTGCAGGAGGCACTGAAGGAGAAGCAGCAGCACATTGAACAGCTGCTGGCAGAGCGTGACCTGGAGAGGGCAGAGGTTGCCAAAGCCACCAGCCACATCTGTGAGGTGGAGAAGGAGATTGCTATCATGAAGGCCCAGCACGAGCAGGTAGGAGGTGATATGGCTTTTTATCACTAGCTCTCAAATAGCTGAATATTTGATATCTATCCCTTGGAAGTGTCAGATCATAACGTTACCACTGTGTGTGAAACTTGGGCTCTGAATTCCTGCCTTTTATGTGGTGAGTTAAGCTGAGGCTCTTTCTCCACTCTCCCAGTGTCACATGTGCTATCTCTGCCCTGAGCCAGGAGCAGGGCTGTGCCAGAGGCAGTAGATGGTTTGTGTCTGGTGGATCAATACATTTCAATGCTGAAATGCAAGTGGAAGGCAATTTTGTGTCCTTATCCACAGAATCTGGCTGTGGCTGTGACTGCATTGCAGTGGTTTTATGGTGCTGAGAACGTCAGCTCCGTTCATATGCCACTGCTTTCCCACCAGAGAGGATGTTTTTATAACATTATTTTATAACATTAATAAAGGCAGGAAATCTGGAAGGAAAACAGGCTGATCATATTAGGCTGGTGTATGTTCGTTTTTTGCACAAGCATTTGTACAGAGGATATTTTATACATTAAAATGCTTAAAGAGAGTTGTGTTTGTGCTGTTTGTCAGTGTGTGGTTCTCCAACATTTGCTGCTCTCCTGAATTCTTTACTTGTTCTTATAAAGCCAAGAGAGCTGCCTGGGAGCAGGGATGGCACTGTATGTTTGGGTGGTGGCTCACACCTGCCTGTCAGAAATGCAGGAGAAATTGAGAAATCAACTGCAAACTGACATTTTTCTTGTGTCAGCTTTTCAGTAATTATCAGTAGCAAATGAATTAACAGAAGTCTGAAATATCTCTTGCTTTGTTACTGGGGCTGAATTGCACTGGTAACCTCTGACCAGATTTTCAGAACTTTTCAGTCTTCAAGTTCTTAACTCTAATCAGAGCTGGATTCTCCAAAAGGGTGAGGTCAGAGAGGCACTGAGGCATGGATCATTTACAGCTACTGGAGATGGAGCAGTTTTTGTTGTCTTGATCCCTGAATTCTGAGCTCTTTGGAAAATGTGCTCTTACCACACCATCCTCTAAAACAGATCATCAAAACTTTCTGTTCCCTTGTTCTGACCCTTTCTTAAACAGCTTTGCACTACTTCAGTCATGGCTAAATTTCATGTCTTGGGCTTGTTTTTTGCTCCAGTATGTCACAGAGGCAGAAGGAAACCTCCAGCGAGCACGAGCCTTGGTGGATGGGATGCAGAAGGAGAAAATTGAGCTGTTGAACCAGCTAGAAGAGGAGAAGAGGTAAAGCAGGAGTGGATGGGTGTGAGGGAGGTGAAGTCATGTGTGGACAGTGATAAAGCCTTCAGGTGGTTTTGGCTTAAGGACACAGTATGGAATAAAAATTGGATCATGAACAGGCACGTGCACCTTGGGCCATCACAGCCCCTCCTGTACAACCTGGATTTGCTAAAGAACCTTTCTTGCCCTCCATTTGTGATGGGCTCATCTTGAGGATGTTCTTTGTGAGGAAGGGAAGCCAAACTGGAGTACAGCTTTACTGTAGTGTGCTTCAGCATCTCCCCACATACCCGAGGTCCCATCTGTGCAGATACAATGGTGCCTACATTTCCTCTCTGGAGAACAGTGAAGATGTGCATGTCATTCTTGGAGTCCAGATTATATACTCCATGTATGTAATTACACTCTTCAGTGGCAATAGGAAAACATTTCTGTGTATTAAATAACTGCAAACAGTGTTGATTTCAATTGACTGATGGCCCTCCTGTGGATGAAATGTTCTTTCATGCAAAAGTCTCCCCATACTCCTGGTAGGCAGCTGACTCCCAGCTCCAGCAGGCCCTTTAACCCAAGACAGCTGAGTTTTCCTCTAAATATCAACAGAGGCTCCCTCCTCTAATTAGAGGAGGTTTAGACAAGGAAGCTTGTTTATGAAGTTTGTTGTATACACTCACAGCTATTTATATCTGTAACAGAATCACAGTCCTTACATCTGGATACTAGCTAAACATCCTCAGCCTTTTTTTAATCAGTAAGGAGAAAAAGAGGGATGAGTCTAGCAGAAAATCGAATTATTTTCTACTGTTACTGGCTTCTCTATTCCAAAAGAGAAGGATTTCCTCTGCATGTCTGTGTTAATGTGTGGGGTTTTATGTGCATTTATGCCTGACTGGCCTGTACAATCTCTGGGGAAGGCTCTTCTGTCTGCCAGGGTGGCTCACACTTTCCATGTTGTGGAAACATTAAACACTGCCCACCCTCTGCCAAGGAGGCAGAGGATCCAATTCCCCTGGAATATTTTGTAAGGACCCTGTGCATTTGGCACAGGAATTATATATTATATAAAATATCCCAGTGCTCAGCTGCAGGATAATAAGATTTAAATAATCCAGTGAAACCTTGTGGTTTGCTTGTTTTCAGGATCAGAGAACAGTAGTTGTGTGTCTGAGAGGATGTACCTTGCAAAAAGCTCATGTTTGTGTATGGAAAGCTCTTACAACTGTCCTGCTCCATGGGTCTTGCTGCTCAGTTTCTGCTGAGCTGTTTGGATCCAAAGGTGGTCTGTATCCCTCTCCTCTCAGACACAACATGATTTTTTAATATTGGGTGGGTGGTTTTACAACACAAAAAGCTTATCAGTAGTTTTTGGGCAACTTTTCTGTTTGTTGGTAATGACCCCTCCACTGATGGTTGCAGTAATCCAAAAAACTTGATTAATAGTGAAAAGGCTCATGGGCAATGGCTGTTTAGACAGAGTGCTGAGCTGAGTGCTCCTGATTGCTCTTTGTGTCCCTTCCCTTCCCCAGGAAAGTGGAGGACTTGCAGTTCCGTGTGGAGGAAGAATCCATTACCAAAGGGGATCTGGAGGTAATTCCTTATGATCTTGCCAAAATGTGGGGTCCAGAGTTGCATGTGGGGCCTCACTTGAGTAACCTTTGCCACTTTTTGCTCCCCTCTAACAATACTTTAGTGATGGCTTTGGACCTGCTGTGAGCAGCATGGTGTGAGCTGTGAGGATTGTTCTTTGGTGTGGTGCCCAATACTGTTCACACTTGGAGCTGCCTGGAGTTAATCTGTCCCTCTGAGTTGCCAAGCCATGTTCAAATCTGTGTCTCAATGTGTTGGAACAGATATTTTTCCACTCTATAAAGGAATTGACAGTTCAGTTCTTGTCCCAGTGGTATCCTGCTCTTAGCAGCTAATGGGCACGCAGAGTGTCCTGATGGAATGCTGTTTAATTCCAGCTGAAATGCTGTTTATCCTGAGGTATCCTCATGTGGAATTCACTGCCCCTGAGTGTGGGTTTGGCACTAGGATTGACACCCTGTCACTGGGAAGGGCTGTTGCTCAGAGTGATGCTGTTGCAGTGAACATTGTGCAAACTGGAAGTGATGTTTGGATGAAGTGGTGTTGGCCCTCGAGTAGGAGGCTTCTCCGTGGGGAAAAAGGAAAAGAAAATCTCTGTGAAAGTAAGGTCTGCTCTCCAAATGTAAATCAAGGGAGTTTTCCATCTCTTTAGCTGGAGTGCCAGGTTAGTAACAGCCAAAAATGTCAAGGGCCCTGCTCCTGTGTTTCACTGTCACTCATAGCAATAAATGCCCAGGAAAATGAGAAAACTAGGAAATGGATATGTTGCTGTGGCTGTGATCCTGTTGGCATAAAGCTGTCTTCTTCATGCAGAAGCTGAAGGAGATGTTTGACAGGGTATAAATTAGCAGTGCCCTGATAGCAGACCTTTGCAGAAGCACAGCAAGTGCAGTTTCTGCCTGTTGTGTGGGTGCAAAATCAGATTTCTGTTCATCCCTGAGCTGACAGCTTTCCCACAGTGCTTTAGGGAAGGGTGGTTGATCCATGCATCATTCCCTTTGAGAGCAGTGAACTGTCCCTTTGTAAGCTCCAAGTGTTCAAGCCTGGCTGTGTAATTATGGCAATGGGACCAGGGTTGGCTAGATGGTATATTTGGATTTATTTTTATTTAAAGCCACCATTCTTAGCAAGATGATAAGATGCTGTGGATAAGGGCTCCCATTCTCAGTTTGGGACTCACAGTCTTGGATTTAATTTTCCTTTGGGCTGGGAAGGAATTTTTTTTGCAATGGGGATGTGGCCAAGCTTTCAGCAGGATTATGGTCCTGTCCTCACTTCCTTGCTTGTCTGTACAAAAGAACAAATAATTTAGGAATGCTTGATTTCCTCTGATCCAGGGAACTGGCATGCTCTCCATGAGGCCACCATCAGTCCCAGCACAGGCATTGGCAGAGGGCTTGGCTGGGGCAGTTTTTACATCTTGTCTGCCTAATATGCATGCTCAGACTGAATTATTGACCCACTAGAGTTAACTCTCACCTTCTTGATTTTCTGTAGAGACAGTTAAACTTTCCAGAAGCAAGCGATTAACTAAGAAAAAAAAAAAAAAAAACCCAATACCTCTTATGGGAAATCAGGAGAATAAGTGTTCCTTCATGTTGCAGTGTTTCCTGGGAAATGGTTGTTCTTGATATTTGTTGTGTAAAATCACAACAAAGTCATGCAGTAGCTGCAAGCACAGCCCTTGGCATCCCTCTCTGGAGCTGAAGTAGCCAAAGTCCAGTTGTCTGCTTTCCTCTGGTGTTGTTAGTTCTCCTATACCAGCAGCCCTTCCAAGCTCAGAGGGGAGTGTTTGTTTTGAAATGACAGCCAGTGACAGACACGAGGCCAATGGGGAGAACAGATTCTCTGCTCTGTGTCCCCTGGCTCTGGGATTTCTGCTGAAGGATTGGCTGAGTCCCCTGATGTTTGTCCCAACAATTTGTGTGTTTTGGACAAATCTAGAGCTCTGGGGTGTTGAGCACAGCAGGCAGCATCCTTGGAAGCAAGCTGACCAAAGTCCATGTGTTGGTGGCCTGAGGATGCAGATCAAGGTTTTGGACCCTCTGATAGAGGGGCTGTGGGTTTAGCCTTGAAATGTAGTTTTGAATTCAACCCATTTTGATCCTGGCTGGCAGCTGATGCTGCAGTGATTTGGAAGATGAAAACCAAATGTAGGAAAAGCTTTTAGGAAAGACTTTTTGTGGTGGAAGATCATGGTTTACAGGAAATGTTATCCTCATCTCCTGGATCCTGCAGCATGCCTTGAATGCCAGTGGGAAGTCAGTTTGTAATTTGTGAACAGTAATTTACAGCTAATAGCTACAAGTAAATCTGAAATTCATATCTAGGCTTTCTCAAAGTGCAGGAAGACTTAGGATTTGAGGTTCTGACTCATACTAATACTAGCAAAACAATGAATAATAAAATAATAAAATAAAACCATGAATAATAAAATAATACAGGATTGACTGTAAATCTAAGATTTAAGGACTGCAAAACAGTTAATCTAATTTTTTTTCCATAGTTTGTTGGTTGGTTGGTTGATTTTTTTTTTTCCTCTATTTTCATATGTTTTTCCAGAATTTGAAAATACCAGAATTAATAGATAATGAGCAGGTGGGACTGAGAGCTTGACTGGGCACTTGTGTTAACCTCAGGAGCCTGGACAGAATCTCTCTGGGAAGTGCAGAGATGAGTTTTCTAAGAGGTCAGCATCTTCAGGTAGCAAATACCTGATGAGCTGCCACAGTTAATTAATTGCTATCAATGGAATATTTATTCCTCTTAGTAAAATCAATCCTGGAGCTCCCTCTCAAGATGTGAAGGGAGCAGAATTAATTTTATTTAATTAATTAAATGCCTTCTTTAAAAATTAGGATGCAATAAGGCAACTTTTTATATATATAATAATAATTTGGAGTTTTGATAATACTTGGGCTCTTGAATCTACATCTTTTTTTTCCCCTCCTTCAGGGGTTAAATAAGGCACATAAAATACAGAGGCATCTGAATATAAATGGCAGTTACATCACCATCTATGAATACATGTACAGTGATATTTTGCAAGCATAAAACATGGATTTTTTTAAACTTGTGTTTCTATCACTTGTACACAACTAGCCAAGCCTTGCTTTACTGTAGGGAAGGGCAGAAAATCCTTAAAACTGGCTCCAATAGAAAGAGGGGGAAGCAAATAATTTTATGGAAAATGAGGGGCAAAAAATGGGGGTAAAAATAGTTCTGAACAAGTTTGTTTGCTTTTTGCTAGATTAATTTTTTTAATTTGATAGATTAATTCTAAGGAAAATGTGATTTTTGTAAGCTAAAATAAATGTGAAGGCCAGAGTGTGAATGCACCTTCCCATGTCTCCTCTCCTCTTTTATTTATAGGGAATCGTACATGATATTATGGTGATGGTGCTGAGCTTTGCCACCAAGTGCAGCTTTGTGGTGCTTCAGCTTTAAAAGCAATTTAAAAGCTGTTAAAGCAATGCCCAGAGCCAGTGCTCCTGGATTTGGGGAGATTTCATGAACTTCTTGTGCTTAGTTGAATCATTTGTCAAAAGAAAAAAAAACTTCCTTGAAAACAAACAACCAACCAACCAAAAATCCCAAAACCAACCAGCCAAAAAAGTTCTGTTTTCTTGTGCCAAAATTAGTAGAGTCTTACTGTACAAAAGTCACTTTGAAATTCATGTCAGGCTTATTCAAACTCAAAGCACTGCTTTATAGAACACTTTGGTATCTCAGTTCCCTGATCTTCAGTGCAGTGTATTTTTTGTTTTACAGCATGCTATGTTCTGTATGATCTGAGGTTTTTTCCCCAGGTAGATTCACACTGTCTCCAGAGCAGAAAGAGGATGGGAACTTCCAGCTCTTTTCATCTACCTTGTGATTCTTCTTGAGGAAAGATGTGGAGAATCATTGCAATGTCTTTGCATTCTCTGTGTGCACAAGGGCCTTGTACTGAGAGCTTTGCTTTTTAGGAAGTGTCTTCAGTTGATGCAGGAAAACACTGAAGCAGGTTTCTAATGCAGAAGGATGTTTTCCCATCACAAATTCAATTTTCTTATGAAGAGCCACTGGGAGCACCATGTAAAATCCCACAGGGACCATTTTCTGTTTGGCTGGATTTTTCCTCCTTGTTTGGGTTTTTATTCTCTTCCTGTTGTGAACTGCCTTTCCTTGTCTTGTGTGCTGGAGATGATGTTGCAGCCTTCTCTCTCTCTCTCTCTCTCTCCCTCCCTTCCCCATCTCCCATCTCCACTGTTCTTTTCTCCCTCTGTGTGAGCAGACTCAGACGCAGTTGGAGCATGCCCGAATACGGGAGCTCGAGCAGAGCCTGCTGTTTGAGAAGGCACAGGCTGAGAAACTCCTCAGAGAATTAGAGGACACCAGGGTAATGGAGCCTCACCTGCCCTGCCTGCAGACAGCGCTTGCACTGCCCTGGTGCTCATGATGCCTTGCTTTGGGTTTCTTTCTTTTGGTTTTTGTGGGGTTGATTGATTTTTGGCTTGAACTTAAGCTTCCTTGATTTTTTTTTTTTGTTTGTTTGTTTTTTATTTGCTGTTTTTCCCAGAAATAGTAGTATGATATGATTTCTAGCTTTGCTTCTCTTGTGGGAAACTCGTTTCTCAGATTGAGTTTGCTTCTCTGCCCCACGCCACCATCTGACACACGAGCTCTTACAATTCATTTTTCAATTAACATATCCCAATAATAGCCTGCACAATTCATTCTGCATTGAGGCCTCCCCAGGCTGTAAGAGGAAATAACATTGCAATCAACATTCCAGTCCCCCCTGCCAGTTGTGGGAGCTGCCATCTGAAGTGGAAGGTGCTGGTGAATGCAGGTGGGCCAGCTCTGACCCTTGGCCATGCCTGCAGCAGGACAGATTGCTCAGAGGAATCCTAAAAGCAGCCAGATGTGGAAAGGGCTTTTTCATGCTGGGGTGGTGTGGGAAGCAGCAGACTTGCTGCAGTGAGCAGCAATGGGTTTGAGAGCTGTAGAAAACACAAATGTGAGGGTTTCCAAAAGGTCTGGATGGTTTGAAGCCCCCTGTGCCCATCTAAAACAATGACCACCAGCCTCCTGGGCTGCTGGGGAAATGGCAATTGAAATGGAGTGAAATTGGTCTCTTGGAGTTGGGCTCAGTTTCCTTCTTTCTTTTGCCTTTTTCTAATATTTCATCCTCTTCTCCATCCATAGTGGCAGCACCCTGTACTCCCTGTGACTTGCAGGGAGTTCAGCCCTGCCAGGTTACATTCAGATGGCAAAACATGGATCCATAGCCTTTATGCTCAATGTGTGCCATGGCCAGATTTATTGTCTTGCATCCTCCAGCCCCCTTTGTTATTTTGACTTTGCTAATAAATCCTAACAAGTACTCATATGTAAAAATCCCTTTTCATTTTTACACCAGGGTAAACAAATTCCATTACAGAAGAGAGGTCTGCAGGCTGAGGATTGCTGAGCAATAAAGGAAACATGATATGCTTAATGCTGGTTTTGATGCTTGTGAAATTCCTGCATGTGCAGTCACATCTCCTCTGTGCATCATCTGGCAAGATGCCTGGTCTGGAAACATAATGCCCTTCCAGGACATTATTTTTCATAAACCACTGTTGCTCCCTAGTGAATTTCAAGGTTTATTTCCAAGGTGTTTTTCTGTGGAAAGCAAGAGGTTTGTATTAGGAAAAAGAAATTGCAATTGGCACAGACATAACTGTGAGATGTCAGTGCTGGTTACCCTGGTGCAAAACTCTGCTCAGGTTGGAGGGTCCTGGGTGTTCACCTCTTTATTTGAACTTTGAATAATGCACTTAGGATTTATTTCCACTGGAGAATGCTTACTTAAAGGGCAAGGATGCAGCCACGAGGGGTGCACTGACTTTGTGTTGTCTGTCACGTTGCAGTTGACCACGGTGGCAGAGCAGTCCCGGATCCTGCAGCTGGAGGAGGAGCTGAGCCTCAGGCGCAGCGAGGTGGACGAGCTGAGGCAGTGCCTGCAGAGCTGCCAGCAGCCCGACAGCCCCCAGCACAGCCTGGGCTTGCAGGCAGAGGCTCTTCGGCTCAGGGATCAGCTGCTGGCTGCCAACAAGGAGCATCAGAAGGAGAGCAGCCAGCTGAAGGAGAAGTATGAGAAGACACTAAAGAAGTACCAGCAGGAGATGGAGAAGCTGAAGTCTGTCAATGAGAAGTACTCGCAGGAGATTGTGGACCTAAAGCATAAAGTTCAGCAAGCCACTAACGAGAACATGGGGCTGATGGACAACTGGAAGTCCAAGTTGGACACTTTAGCTTCTGACCACCAGAAGTCTCTGGAGGACCTGAAAGCCACACTCAACTCAGGCCCTGACACCCAGCAGAAGGAGATTGTGGAGCTGAAGGCAGTGGTGGAGAGTATAAAGTTGGAGCACCAGCTTGAGTTGGAGAACCTGAAAGCAAAGCACGACATTGAGACAGCTGTCCATATAAAGGAGAAAGAGAGTCTCAAACTGAAGCTGGAGGAGGCTTTGGATGAAGTGGAAAAAAGCAACAGCAACTGGAAAATGCAACTGGAAACCAAAAGCAGTCAGCACCTTCTTGAGCTCCAAGATGTGAAGGACAAGTGTCGAGATGCTGAGCTGAGGGTGCATGAACTGGAGAAACTTCATGGTGAATATACAGATCAGACAGAAGCAATAGCTTTCTTGAAAGAGCAGATATCTTTGGCTGAGAAGAAGATGTTGGACTATGAAACATTACAGAAGGCAGAAGCCCACAGCAAACAGGAAATCCAAAGATTGCAGGAAAAAGTGCTTGTCTTAGAGAACAAGCTGCAGTCCATGGAGGCCCTGCATCCTTCTCAGCATGCAAATGTATGACTTTGGGGTCATTTTGCTTGTTTATTTTCACTGTTGGTAACTCCTCAGTCGCTGCCTTGTGCAGTTTTCTGAGGCCTCAAATATCTGGATGTTTTTTTCCTTGCACTGACAGTGCTCTTTCTGCACTTCATCTCCATGCTGAAGGTGTCTTTCCACTCTAGAAAGCCAGTACAGTGGGACAGTTAGGAAAAAGGAGCAAGTGGGGCCACATCTGGCTTTGGAGGCTGCTGTGGCAGCAGAGTGGGGCTGCTATGGTTTGTCAGGGTGGGCTCCCGTCCTGAGCAGGAAAACCATCATTCCTACAGTACAGTTGTGTTTCTCCCAGCAGTCTTGGTGTGCTGTTGGGCAAGACCCTTTAGGGTGCTAGGAGGGATAGGGTGGGAGAGTCAGCCTTGCTCAGCACCTGGTGCAGTGAATGCTGAACTGTGGCATTGGAGGGAGGTGTCAACAGCAGGGCAGGGGTTTCCCAGCACATATGGGAGACAGGAAAATGCTGACATTGGGGATTGTAGTGGAAAAGCAGCCAGCAAGGGTCAGAATGACACCAGGCTGGGGGAATAAAATGCCTGATTGAATATGAGACCAGGGAGGGCTGAAATAAGAGCAGTAATATAAAGGGGACAGTTTAGGACCCTTTTTTTCTTTTCTTTTTTTTTTTTTTTTTTGGACTATTTGCCACAGGATGCATCATCCTGCCCTTGTGCATGGCACAGGGAAGGAGATTGCTACTTATGGCTCTGGGCAGGGCCATATTTGTGTTTGATTTTGCATGAGAAATGAGGAAAAACCCAATTTACATGCTGTGGGGATGCAGAAAATTAAAATAAGCTGTGAAATGTGCACATTTTAAGAATACTGTGTTGAAATTTCATTGGTGAGGTAGTTTCTGTTCCAGACAGAGATGCCAATGAAATTAAATCAATGCCTGTGTTTAATTTCCCAACATGAACAGTCCCATTGAAATCAGTTGCACCTCCAGGCAAAGTCAAGCCCATGAATTCCATGTTGTCTAAGTCAGAACATCACACCTTGGGAATAGGCACACTGAGGACAATAGAGGCAAAGGCCAAGGAAATCTCCAGCATTAACAGTGTTTGAAGGGTTGCTCCAGGATATTTCATCTAGTAAGGACAGTTGGGAACAGTAAGTACAGCCAGGGAAAAAGGAGTTGTCATTACAACATGTAACATATTATAGCCAATATTCAAACAGGAGTGAATGGAAAAGAAGAAGCTGGAGGCTTGTTCCAGAGTCCTTTAGATAAATGGAAGGGCTCTGGGGGATATTGATACTGGATTGGAACCAGGGAAGTCTTGAAGTAATTATTTCAACTATGTGTCAATTAAAATCAGCAGAATATGGGAAGAAATGCATGGGTGAAAGCCTTTGAGTATCATGGGGGAAAGTTCTATTTAAAATTGTCTTAGTTAATTTAAAGTGACTGCAGTATTCACTGTCCAAGTATTTTAAAGGAGCAAAGATGTCCTGTGACCATCTTTCCTAGACTTCCAAGGAAGAACCATAACTGTGCTTCCCAGGAGTAGTTAGATAGATTTTTCCTTACCAAAAGTACATCAGGAACCATGCTTCTCCTCTGGAGGTGCTTGTGCTTCTGTCTGACTTGTCCCACAGCCCAGACTTCAGAGAATTGACCTTGGGGCTCTTGACTGTGGTGGCCACAGCAACTGCTGGGTCTGGGCATGTGCTGAGGTCCCACCAAAGGCTGCTGGATGGGAAGGGGTGTGAAGGGCTCAGCTGTGGCCTCTGCCACAGAAAGGTTGGCATTGAAAGCTCTGTAGTCTCTGGCTTTTCATTGCAATGTAGAAAAGAAGGTGGGGAAAAAGCAGAATCCCCTGTATGGACCCAGCATTTGCTTGTTATTATTTTTATGAATGCATTAGTTCTCTAATAAATTATTATTTTATCAGTGTTTTTGTAACTTGGGGCACAGCTAGGCTCTGCAGAAGGTGAGGAACTCGTTGATGGTAGGTCTCAAGCTGCATGCTGGAATTGGATTGTCCATGCAAATGGAGAGCATTTGCAGTTGAATATTTGCTGTGATTGACCAGAGGTGCCTGCTCTGAGGAACAGCAGCTCTTCCACCCCTCTGCATGTGCAGAGCTGGAACCAGAACTTGTGGGGGAAATCCTGAGCTCTGCTCCCTCCTGAGGCAATCCTGCTGTTGTTGTTGTGCTCAGCTGTGAGTTGTGTGTCAGCCTCAGTAGTACCCAACTGGACAAGTGGCTCTTCAAAAAGTCCTTTATTTCCCTCTTGGGAAGGATGTAAAACATCCTAACTTGGACATGGGATACCTTCTGCTTTGGATGGGGCTTTGTGGTTGTTAGCTTTTGTTTGAATCTTTGGCTAAAGAGTTGGTTTATGTCTTATATTTTATATTTATTCCAGATGATTGAGACTAATGATATTTCAGAAGAAAAGATAAAGATGAAGCAGACTATGGAAGGTATGAAGCTATTATTTTTACCCTGTTGTAGTGACTCATACATTTGCCCTTTTCTAACTTTCTGCTCTTGCAGGCATGGCTGCATGGCAGGGGTTTAGGAAGTAATTTCATCTGTTAAAATTTGCTGGATGACATTTGTTGTCTGGATTTGTTTTTTCCTTCTAATCAAGCTGAGCATTTGCAGGGGTGGATGTTTTTACCTCTGTTAGATATTCTCCATGCAGGTGGTGCAGATTGGAGACAGATCTGGGGAAATAGGTGCATTTCCCTTCCATCACTGATTTTTACAGCAGGAAAAATTCAGACATTAAGTGTTATTTGCTCAGAGGAGAGGAGTGATAACGGTAGATATTAATGTGACTGGCTTCAAATAATGATAGTTACTTTTTATTAAGCTTACTATAAATCAAATCCATCCTTTTAACAAAATGTGAAACTTCTGCACTCAGGAAACTTGTATAAAGTGTGAGCTGTAACACTGAGTCTGAGCAATAGCAGAGCTGGATTCAGAAATATTCTGTCCTATTCCCATTGCCCTCAGTGCAGCCAGGCATTGTCCATCAGCCTTGCCTGCCTTTGCAGGTAAGGGATTATTTAGAACACACTCATGTTGTATCCCATCCTTGCAGGTGTCCAAGGCCAGGCTGGACAGGGCTTGGAGCAGCCTGGTGTGGTGGAAGATGTCCCTGCCCAAAGCAGGGGTGTGGAACAAGATGATCTCTAAGTTCCTCTCCAAGCCAAGCTATTCTGTTTCTTCACCAAATTGTTTGCTGATTGGCAGGTAATTCCTGCCTAGTGATGGCAGAGCTTAGCTAGATCCAGCAGCCACTGCTCCAAATGGCCACTCAGTCCACGTGTGCATTGTTTCCACACTGAATAAACCCTGGAAAGATGGACTGAAAACAGGTCAGATTTCAGCCACAAAACCATCAGACTTCAGATCTACAGCTCTGAGCATGGAAATACATCAGTTCCAGAAAACATGACTTTTGAAACAGTCTCTGCCTTCCACTATAGGAAGTGACACAAAGAAATGTGCTAAAAGCTCCTTTTGTTTTTGTTTTTGTTTTTTTTTTTTAATTAATGTTTTATTGCCTTTTCCCCCTCCTTCTTTGTGGTTGTTTTTTTAACCCAGTCTGATAGAACTTTCCCAGTGTGCCTCCCACCTCCAGGCATGGTGAGCTGCAGTGTCTCCTGCTGCTTCTCTGCCAACAGGGGGGTACCACCATGGTGCCCACTGCACCCTGACCCGTGCTGTGCCCCTGGCACCTTCCCAGTTTGGACAAAGCATTTCCCAACCCTCTAATCCTTGTCTTTTTCATTCCTCCACAGACCTCCAAGACAAGCTGAGTAAAGAGGTGTCATCCCTGGTGACCCAGACTGAAACTCTAAGGGCCCAAGTAAGTGGTAAGTTTCCCTAATCCAGTGTTGGTGGGAATGAAATGTTTCCCTGCTTGTCCTATGCACTGGTGTTGAACAAGAGCCCAGAGCTGAAAAAGGCTGATTAAAACATAATGCTGCTGGTTTTTGAATGGCTATTGCTGGTGAAAATTAATTAAGGAATTGAGCACAAACTGCACAAGATATTTGTGTCCTGTGAGGGAGAGTTTGGACTTGTTTATGTGTAAAACTAGTGAGGCAGAAGTCAGTTGAGCTGGGTGTGTTTTTTCCAAGATCTCCCCTTAACTACAGCCAGTCAAGAGCTCATCAGGTCTGTGCTTTGAGGAGTAGGAATTGGGAAAAGGCAAAAAGCAGGAATATAAGTAAAGGACTAAGTGACCTTTCTTCCCCTGAATCCTCTCTTCTCATAGCTCTGGAAAATAAATGCAAAACAGCAGAAAAGAAGGCTGATACGGTGTTCAAAGAAAAGAAAAGGTTGGAAGGAGAACTGGAAGCCTTGACTAAGAAAACACATGATGCCTCAGGGCAACTGGTCCTGATCAGCCAGGAGCTGCTCAAGAAAGAAAGGTTGGTGTGCAGGTCTGGAGGACAGAGCTGGAGACAGAGGGGCTCTGGGTATATTCATGTTTGACCACCAGAAGAAATGTAGGGCTGCACTGTTGAAATCCAGCCCACAGCTTTCGTCTTCTTTAGAGATGCTGATGTGTGAATTCGGTTAGAATTAGAGGCTGTGAATTCTCAAAAGGCACTGCCCTTTCACTGCTTGCCAGGAGCTGCAAGACAGCTCAGTTCCCGTGTAGAAGCTGAATGAAGTCACCTCTAAGGCAGCCGAGCCGCTGCCCCGCTCCCGGGCAGTGCCCGAGAGGCTCCCGGAGCCGCCAAAGGGCGACAAGAAAAGAGCTGGGTGGGATTTGCTCAGTGACGTTTGTTTGGATCTGTGGCAAAGGTGGGAGGGAGCACAGCAGGACCGCAGTGCTGTGTGGATTTCGGGAGTGTTTGATGTGTGCCCGCTGCTGCTTGCAGGAGCCTGAACGAGCTGCGGGCTCTGTTACTGGAGGCGAACCGGCACTCGCCGGGGCCGGAGCGGGACCTCAGCCGGGAAGTGCACAAAGCTGAGTGGCGCCTCAAGGAGCAGAAGCTCAAAGACGACATCAAGGGGCTCCGAGAGAAGCTGGTTGTGCTGGTGAGGGCACTAAAACCCTGCCTGGGAATGGCCTAGAGGCTGGAGGGGTCTGCACTGCTGAGGGGAGTGGGGGGGAGGGTCTGAGCCCTCCACTCTTGCTCCAGGTCTTTGTGTTTTCTTTGTGCTTAGCAGCACCTCGTAAAGCAGCAAAGATATCCGTATGTCATACAATCACAGAATATCCCGAGTTGGAAAGGCCACAAGGATCATCCAGTCCAGTTCCTGGCCCTGCTCAGGACACCCCAATAATCACATTTGCCTGGGAGCATTGTCCAAGTGCTCCCGGAGCTCTGGCAGCCTTGGGGCCATGACCATTCCCTGGGGAGCCTGGGCACTGCAGCACCCTCTGGGGGAAGAACCTTTCCCTGATTTTCTGCCCTGACACTGCTCCAGCCATTCCCTGGGTCCTGTCCCTGGTCCCAGAGAGCAGGGATCAGTGTGTGCCTCCTGCTCCCCCTCGTGAGGAAGCTGTAGCCTGCCGTGTCCTTCTCCAGTGTTCTTCTGTTCCTACAGGTTTTAAATCCATGGCTAAATAGGGCTACGATTTGTGGGAGAAGCTGAAGGTCGTTCAGCTACCCCACGCGTTTTACACTTTCTCTGATCCAAGAATAAGCAGTGTCCCCAAATTCCCGTGTACTTCGGCGTCCTCCGGTGGCTGAGATGTGAATAATTGATTTGAGCTGCTGGGAGCAAACCAGAGCTGCTCCTGGTCCTTGATGCGAGCTGTGCTGTGCCCCAGTGTGCTGCTGAAATCACAGCGTGCTCCTAGGCACGATGTGGATTTCTCCCGTGAGTTTGTGCAGCGATTGGTGTTGATATGACAGCTCCTGTTTTCCCTTTCTAAGGACAAGGAGAAGTCAGTGACGGAGCAGCGGCGGTTCTCCCTCATCGACCCCTCCTCCGAGTCGGAGGTGATCCGGCTGCAGCACCGGCTCGTCAGCACCGAGGACGTGCTGCGAAACGCCCTGGAGCAGGGACACCAGATGGAGAAACTCATGGAAGCGATGAGACTCTCCTCTGAGAAAACACAGGTACAGCGTCAGCCAACAGGGATCTCATCAATCCCCTGTGCTCAGGGGTCCCCTCTTTACAGCAGCCTGACAAAGTCTTGTTCTGTCAGTATGGAGGGAGCAGAAACATTCATAGAGAAGAAAGTCTCCCTGCATCCTCAGAACAAGCTCCTTGGAAAACCATAGCTTAGAGATAAGAAATGGCTTGTGAAATGACAAATACAAAAGGAATCCAGTTTTCCCCCCTTGGCAGACCCTCTTATCTATCTTCAATATTAGTGGCTCATTCTCTTTTAGTATCCATAGGCCAGCTTTGAATGTAAAATCCCTCAGGGATTGGTTAGAAAGTAGAATTCCCTTGGTAATTGGTGCAAACTGTAAAACCCTCAAAAGATGTAAAAACCCCTGTAAAACAATAGCTGTGGGTATAGGTAGATAGGATGCCTTCATAGAATAAACCATGGATTTGTGCCTTTCTGTATATCCCAGTTTCTTTACTCTGCTGGTCTGAGAGCTCCCCACGAGCCAAAATTCTACCTGGGCAAGGCTGGGGAACGTGCTCTGTCACTGAGGGCTGCAGGAGCAGCCTCAGGGATCTCAAAGGGACCCCAAAAACCCAGCCAGTGACATGTCAGATGTAGCTTAATGCTATAAAATCCCTGCTAGCTCATCACAGATCCCTCTGTGCTCCAAGAATGGTTGTTAACGTGGGGTTTTGGAGAAGCTGCACTGTGAATAACTGTTCTTTCTGTGTCCAGTATTGTCTGGCTGCACATGTTCCTGACATGGAGGTTGAGGTTTTTCTGACATCCCTCTTCTTTGAGAGGTTTATCTGTGCATCCCTAAGCAGAAACTTTGCAGGTGACTCTGGGAAAATGCTTTCCATTTCTCTTACCAGCTCTCTTACCACCTTGGTGTCTTATGTGAGTTTGCTGATGGACTGTGAATGTTCCCACTGCAGTTTTGTCTTCTTTCCCCAACTTCCTCTGATCTCCCTTTGTTTCTTCTGCCTAAAGAAAAGCTGCTTCTGTTGTCTGTCTTACATCCTTCTTTATGAAACTGAAGGGTACAAATGGCTTGATTTTGACTTTTCCATTTCGTACCTGTGGAGTCTCAGCCCTGACTGATTGCTCCTGCAAAGTGACCTGCCCCTTGTGCCAAACTTTGTCCTTGAACGTTCTTCCAGCTGTATTTTCTCTTGGGTCTGCAAATAGGCAGTGGCTTTTGGAGCTCAGATGTACCATTATTTCTCTTGTACTTGCTCATTTAAATTCTCAAGTGAAAAATGTCTTTTTCTTGCAATAATGAGTTACAAGTGGCATTCAAGGAGACACCTTAGGGTAGAGCAGAACAAAAACTTTTCCGTAAATAAATGCTTACACCTACAGATTCAAAACGAAATAGGAGTTTTCAGCAAAATCTATAAAAATTAAGTTTTTAATTTTTGGTGGGCTACAATATTATCTGTGACTCTTACTAAAAAAAAAAAAAAATAGACACAGAATAGGCAGAGAGCTTTTTTTCACTGATGCAGGTGCTGTGTTAGGTAATCTGGGGGGTTTCAAGCCTTCTCCTCCCATGACAATTTCTTTTGGATACACCAAACACTGTTTGCATTGCAGTATGGGCATGGAGGGGGGGGTTGGGAAGGTAAAAACTGCAACCCTGAAAGATCTGCTGGCTCACTGAACATCTGAGTGTTGCACACAAGCCTCTGTATCCTGCAGTGCAGCATCTGCCAGCACCAGGCAGCACTGATGGAGTTGTGATCACATGTTTGTGGCAGTCCAGGATGTATCATAATCCTGTCAGTACCTCCAGAGTGACTTCTGCTGTAAATTGCTATGGATCAAATGCAAATGCATCATGACAGCCTCATCTCTTGGCAGCTACAGGAGGGAAAAGTTATTCTCTGTTTGCTTTAATGCACGTTCTCTTGAGAAAGGGAAATCTTCCCTTTTGCATTCCCATCTCTAGAAGTTGTGCAGGTGGTAATTCTTTCTTCCCCAGTTCCAGAAAATAACTAATCTTACCTGAAGTGAATTGGAACAGACCTTGTGAGGTCAGCTAAGATATCCCTGCTATTAGTTTGATATATGCATTCTTAAGAAATTGTAGAGACATGACAGAATAACACTATGTCTTCAACTGCAATCAAAGGTGCAAAGAAGCAGAGGATTACTGTGGGAAGGAAGGCTTCAAATTTCTACTGATGTCAGATTTTTAAAGTGCTCTTTACAGGGAAGTCTGGATCAAGCTTCCTTGTTTCAGTTTGAAATCTGTTCACCCTTCCCCTTGTGAAGGAGAACTGTTACCAGGGGCTTTCAGGCTGAGGGCATTGCTGGTCCAAACAAATCCTGCTGCAATAATCAGGGAATTGATGGTTCTTCTCCAGAAGCCATATGCCCACTGTAACTCATTCTGCCCCACCTTCCAACCTTCTGTCTCCTCTCTGATGGAAGCAGCTGTTGCCCAGGTATCTGCCTTGGCAGAAAGAAAATCTTCACCTTCTCCTTGTGTTGGGAGATGCCTGACCCACAGCTTTGCAGGAAATAACAAGGATTTGGCACTTGGATGTTTTCTTGAAGAGTTTTAGTGATTCCTCTGGGAGCCTTTTTATTTAATTTCAAGCAAATTGCAGCACTTTGTTCATTATTGTGGCCATGTTCCAGGACCAGACTTCAAGCTTGATTTTTGATATCAGCTGTCTGGTCATTGCTCAGATTGGGTGAGCTGCAGGCAGGTGTTGGGGGGTGCTGAGCCCTGGCAGCAGCAATGTTCTTGCCATCCAGGCAGGATCCACTGAGCAAACAGCTCAATGCCTTATCAGAGGTTAGTTTGAATTTCTGCCTGGTTTTCGTGTCCTGTAGGGTTGATTCTGCACCTTTGTGGTGCCAGTGAGGATGGAAACTGGGACTCTTAAACCCTGCAGTCCTGTCTCCCCATAATGCCATCAGCAGTTCACCAGCAGATGTGACTCTGATTGCCAAGGCCTGAGCACCCAGATTTGGGAGGGCTGGGGCTTCAAGCTGCAGCTTTCTTCTCTTGCTTGTGCTGGCTGTACTGTCATTGGGAAGCTGAAGGGCTCCATTCTACTCTGTTAGAGAAATATTATAAATGTTTAAAAGTTCTTGTGCTTTCTAAAGATAGAACAGCCTGTCCTGGTTGCCAGACGTGTCCCCAGAGATGGGAAATGGGGAATGGCAAATGTCCTTTTCAGTGCTGGATGTTCAGTATGCTGTGCTCTGCAGCTAACACTGCCCTTGGCTGCATTTGGTTTTTTGGTATTTAAGAGTTGGGGTGAATAGTGGGTCTGTGTCCATAAGGAGCTTGGGGGATGTTTGGCAGCTGAGAGGGATGCAGTCAGGTACATGGGGATTGAGCCAGGGTGCAGAGGGCAGGCAGATTATTGCCAGAAATGGGGTGGGGTTTTTGCATCCTCCTTTCCTTGTGTGAAGTGGGCAGCTAAGGAAGGACAGGGCAGTCTCGCCCAAATGTCAGTGCTTGTAAGCAAGGATGTGTCCCTCTTCAAAAAGTGTTGTCTGTTTTCCATTGCAGACTGTTGGAAATTCTGGCTCTGCTAACGGGATTCACCAACAGGATAAATCCCACAAGCAAGAGGTGAGTTCTGAGCAGAATATTGTTTAAAACAGTATCTGCTTCATGTGGTTTCTTGCCTGCTGTGTGGGGACAGCACTTGGCTAGGGGTAGTTCTGCCAGCGCAGCTTGACTGTGTCATTCTCACAGCAGAGGCTTTGCACAGCTCCAGCCCCCAAATGTGGTGGGAACCTCACTAGAAACCTCACTTGAAGCCATGGGGAAGGTGGTGGTGAGGGGTGCAGTGCACAGGGATTTTCCCCACAGTCTCCTGGCTCAGTGCTGTGTGACACTTCTGGCAGCCCCTGCTAGAACCTGCTCAGCCTCACATCTCTGCTGTCCCCTCTGCATGGGTGGCATTTGTGGGACCTGCTGTCCTGGCCTCCCAAAGCTGACTTCATCTACCCATAGTGGGCAAAGCAGTGGGTATTCTACTCCATGCCTCTTCCAAAAAAAGCCTCTGTGCTTGTCCTCATTTTGCTTAACAAGATCTCTTTTCTTCTAGGAGAAGCTCTGATAGAGAAGAGGTGGAAAGGATCATTTCACGCCAGTATCAGCTCCTCTGCACAGTCAGGAAAAACAACACCACATCTGGCTTTAGCACCTCCAAAAGACCACACACAGTATTTTCACTTTTAAGCAGGACAATGTTTATAATGTACTAATTGATGTAATGAGGACAATCCCAGAGTCCAGTTTTCCAAGACAGCCATTGTTCCAGGAGGGAGCAGAAAGACCTCTCTGGGTTTGGTTTCTTACTTTGTATTGGTTTTGACTGTGGAATTTGTATTGTTTGAGCTGCCCTTGTCCCACCAGCTGACATGGTTTGGATGACAGCTGCCTTGACCTGTGGCTGAAGTGTCAGCAGGTCCCAGTGACCCCACAGGAGCTGCAAAGGGATTTGCCTCTGGTGTTCAAAGCACCATAGGCTGCACCCTTCCCATGGGGTCTGTCCCTTCCCTCCCACACACCCTGGTGTCCTGAGGACCTGCACAAGTGAGTGAAACCTGCTGGGCTGATGATGTGAGGTCTGGGGACATGTTCTCCTTGTCCCTTTGTGGAAGACATCACTGTTTCAGAGGAGAGGCTGCACTTAGTTCTTGTATTACAGCATGTTGTGGGAAATAATCCAGTTTCAGAGGGATATTTATTTTGTTTCTTCTTCCCTGCCATTTGGGGAAGAAGCTGTGGTGACTCTGAGTTTGGGGTCAGGCACACCTTGCCTGGTGGGTGTAGTTGGCCTTTCTTCCTGCAGTGAGATGTCTGAGCAGGCCTGCTGGAGTCCTGTGCCATAGCCAGCTCTCCAGCTCGGTGCCCCTCACTCCTGAGGGCTTCACTGGGTCTGTTTTGAGCTCAGAACTCCACAGATGCTGGATCTCAGCATCACTGGCCTTGGAGCTCCATGCTGGGGGCACTCAGTGCAGGAGATGCATTGAGCACACGGTTCCCTCCTTGCCTGTTTAATTTAAAAGCTGACTGCAGATTGCCTGGTGCTTCCCAGAGCTGTCCTGGGCTCTTCAGTGTGATGCCCATCCCTGCTAACCAGGATGGATGAGGTGAAGGTGCTGCTGTGAGCCTGACTTTGATGGCTTCAGCAATCCCCTGTGCATGGCCTGAGTGTATTTGGAGCAGAGGCAATCCAGACCAGAGCCCACAGCTCTTGTGTCTGTACCAGCAGAGGATCTTGTTCTTTCTTCCCAAGACTTTACACCACAGCTCCCAAGCAATATTAGGGCAGAGGAAGGTGACAACATGCTGGTAAAGGTGTGAAAGAGCCCAGCTCAGGTTCACTGGTGAATAGCACTCACAGTCACAGCAATATTTTTCCAGGCTTTTCCCATTAGTGCCCAACTCCTCCAGTCTTCATGAACTCCTGTGCTATGATGGGGCATCTGTGAAAGGACAAGGTGGGAGAGGAGATGTGAGCCAGACCCCCAGCAGGTGAACATGATGGCACATCAGCTCCATTGCTTTTTGCCCTGATTTCCCACAAAGTTGTGTCACTTTTTCTTAGTGGGCTGCCAGACTTCTGCTTCTTTGAAGGATGGGCAGCCAGGAGCAACCTGGGAAAGATTTGAGCTTCATGGCTGCAATTTTACCATGAGGAGAATGACATTGAACACTTGACCCTTCTCACCTGATGCAGGTTTGGTGATCTCCTGTCCTTCAGAGGATGATGGGAGAGGAAGGGGATTTCAGGGAAGTAAAGCAGGTCAGAAATCACAGCAAAAATCTGCATGTGGTAGCAGGAGGCAGAGTGTGGGATCAAACTGCTGGAAATAATTGACATAGGATTCCATCCTGCCTTGTAGAAGTGTTTCTTCAGCTCTTACTTATCATCAGGAAGATTGCCACATCTCTGCCTAGCTCTGGGAGTTTCCCAGGGGATTGTAGGAGTGGTATCCAAAACCCTCCTGGTTGAGTATTCATCTTCTGAGTGGTTTTGGAAAGTCCCAGAGGGAGTTTTTGTTTGTTACAACCCTCAGTAGTGAATACCTCACTGCTGTTTTTAAGAATTTAGAGCTGATGTTTCCCAAAATGCTCCTGTTGGCTGGATGGTCTCTGAAGTCATGTCTGCAGAACCCGTGGCCTTCCCTGGGCACCTGCAAGAGGGAGGCCCCATTCTGGTTTGTAACTTATTTTCCCTTATGGGTCTTCTAGTGACTTCACTACAGCAGACATAACTGTGTTTTCCACCTCCCTTTGGCTCTGTGCAGAGTGGGATCCCCTGGGAGTGGTTATGAGGACCAAGTGTTTGGTTCTGTTGATCAGATCTAAACTTGTGAGGCTGGAAGAGTCTCTGGCTCCTGCCTCCTCCCAGGGACCATCCCCTGAGAGCAGCTCAGACCTGTGGCTTTTCCCATTCAGCCTGGGAGACAATGCAGAACAGGAGCAGATGGGTTCAGACCAGGTTCAGAGTTAGTGCTGTCTTCTCTGGCTGTAAATGACTCTGCTGGTCCCTGAGGATCAGCCAGCAGCTGTTGGCACTGCTTGGCTCTCTGCAGGCTGTGTGGTCACTGTGTTGAAGGGCTGAGGGTTGAAGCCCCCCCACCCATTGGGGTGCAGGTCCATGGGAGCTGCTCCCAAATAGGACCATCCACAATGCCAACAGGATGTGTTGTGTGCTCATGTGGGCTTCAGCTCATCCCTGTGTAAGGGGCCAGGAGGGTTGGTCTCACTTCCTCCCTCTCCAAAATTAGCACTTCCCCAGGCTTCCCCAGGGCACCAGCCTCTGGCTGCCCTTCTGAGGTGGTAAGAGACCACACTAGGGACAAACTTGGAAAGGACAAAGGGGGAGATTCCCCAGCCCCTCTATTTATTTGTAAGTTTAAGTGCTATTTTTACCTATGTGGTGGTGTATAAAGTACTTCATGATACTTGGTCTTACTGGCTTGGTTCTTTGGGAGAGAATTCGGGGCACGGGAGCAGCGATGTCCCCTTGTCCTGCTGTTGATCCAGGCTGGTTCCTGTTTGTGCCTTCACTCCCCCTTTGGCTTCAGCCTTGCTCTTACCTCGATCCCTGAGAGCTGGTAAGGGAGGGCTGTGCTTTCCCCAGCCTTTCTCCCAGCCTGAGAATGCTGTGCTGGTTTTCCATCTGGAAATGGGTCCTGAGCATCCTGCCCCAGAGCAGCGGTGCAGGGCGGGGAGCAGGAGGTGACAGGAGCACTGGGCTCGGGGAAGGAGCAGCACCCACAGCCAGTGGCATTACCCTGACAGATAGTGATGCTTTTCTGCTGAGAGCTGAGCCTTTATCCAGTGAAAAAACAGCCTTTGGAATGGAGACTACTTAGTATTGAGTGACTTCTTCTCCAACTCTCAAGACCAAAGGAAAAAGAATCAGTCTTGCTTGGGAATGTCAGCTTTGTCCCTCCTGCAGCATCCAGAGAGCTGGAGCAAGGGGCAGCACCATGCTGGTGCCCTATGGAATGATGGTACCAAGCTGTCTGGGTGTCACAGCTCTCGGAATGACAGGTGCCAAGCTGCCAGCCAAGGCCTTACAGCTCCTGCCTCCCCCCAGCCACCAGCAGCTCCTCTTGCAGTAGAGATGCATAAGGGTTTCATTAAACAAAACGATGCAAATGACACTGTAAAAGTCTTAATGAAAATTCCAGTACTCTGTTATTCAGCAGCTTTAGCAGCTCAGCACTATCTGTAGGGAGTTATTAATACACTAAGATCCTATAGGCCTCCTGTAAGTTACCAGAGAAAAGATGATACTAGATGTATAAATGGATAATAACCTTTTACCCATACAGTATGTATTACAATTTTGTAGCTTAGTCATTTTTTGGCTATCAGATTTTGTTAGTATGATACAAAAAAGAGACAAAATTTTGACTGCTAATGTCTATTTTGTTATTTGATTCATTTTCTTCCTCTGTACAAATCTGTCTGTGTAACTCCTCCACATCTGTATTCATGTACCATCCCCCTTGTCCTGGCTTGCTGGTGTGGTGAGCTCCTACTAAACAATAAACTCTGTGGCTGAAGTTGGACATCCTGGGGCTGCTGGGGCGTGTTCAGGGTGTTCTGCAGTGCACAAACTCTCATGAGCTGGAAGGGGCTGGGGGCACAGGGCTGTGGCACCGCTCCCCCTGACCTTGAGCCATCTGTGTTTGGGCTCTGCAAGGGGCTGGGAGGCTGCAGAGCTGCCCTGGGGATGATCTGAGCAGGAGCACAGTGGCATTTGCTTTTCTGCATCCCATGCCAGAGGTGAGGGCAGCCAAGCCCAGCACCATCTCCTGGCTGGGCAGCTCCTGCCATTGAGTATCTCCCAAGCCTCAGAGTGCTTGTGCTATTTATTAATCCATTATTATTTTCCATCTAATTGTCTCCCCAGTCCCTGACTGACATATCCACAATGCCCTGAGTGTTGCAGGGTGCTGTGCCAGACCCACCTCCCTGCATCTCAGCACTGATCCATGCTTGTTTGAGCAGTGCCACCTTCATTTTTGCATGGACTGTGCTTGGGTCATCCTCATTCCTTCCAGGTCCTCTAGAACAGAGCTTCAGAGGACATGGAAATGGGGATGGCAGTGAATCAGTCCAGGAGGAGCTGCCTCTCTTGTCCCTGTGTTCCTACCACGTGTCCATGTGGATGCTCTGAGCACCACAGAGTTGTGCTGTCACTCATGAGGCAGGACTGGACAGATTTATGCCAGGATTTGGTGCTTTTTTCATGGTACAACATCTCATTTGGGAATTCCCTTGACTGCCTGTGGCCTGGCTCAGCACTGCCCATATAGCAAGGGAACATCCATCTCCTCCTGCTGTGTTTTCCTGCCTCCAGGGACTGCAGGTCCTTTATAGGAAAGTATTGCCAACTGCTTGAGATATAGGGAAAAACTGGAATGATTTCTCCCTTGCTTCCTAGCTCCTCCTTTTCCTGGATTTAAAATTCTCCACCATCAAGATTACCTGAAAGTTCTAAATTCTTTCCAAGAGCAGCTGAGGTTTGCAGGTGCTGGTTTTGTTCCAGAGCAAGGCCCCAAGAAAATTACAGATACCTGATGACAACAGCATGAAAACTGTCCAGGCAGCCTTATCCCAGAGCTGTAATAGAGTCTGTGCAGGTATCCCTGATATCCTCTTGTTTTCTTTTTTCGAGGTGGGTAAGACACTCTTGTCTCTCCAGCAGTTCCCTGAGCCTGTGCAGTGTGAGGTCTTGGGATTGAAAGGGTTAAAAGCACTGTGCCGAGGCATACCTGGGCAATAATAAGATGCTTACAAAAATTGTAAGCAATATAAAAGCTAGATTAAACTTGGCAAGAAATAGGGAACAAAACTTGCAAAAATGAGGAGGAAAGCTTGCTAAAACCAGTGAAGAAATCGCTGTTACAGCCAAGAAGAGGCTGCACGTGCCTAGAGGAGAAAGGTGAAAAGGGCACGGTGATGAAGACGTCCAGCCTTCATCAGGGGACCAGCGCGGTGCCTTCCTCAGTGCCACCAGCAGCGATGATGAACCCTGGGACAGTGATGGTCCCTGCAGCCATGGGCGCTGTGCAGGTGTCTGACAAGGCACGATGTGACAAAAATGACAAGATGCCCCAACAGCCTGGGCTGTTCAAACCCGGTGCTCGCCAACTCTCTCCTGCAGAGCAGAAACTAAGGTGAACGCAGGAAATGTTGGAGACCTCGCCAGGTGCTCTAGATGCCACAACACTCCCCTAGCAGAGAACTTCCTGAGCTTCAGCTGGGCTTGGGAAGGGATTTCCTAAAGCCTCTGCCCTTCCCGGCTGCCCCAGCATCCCGCAGTGCAGCCCTGCTGAGCAAACCAGAGGATGGAAAAGCAGCCCTGAGCACTGAGCACCAGAGTGCAAAGGATGAGTGAGGCTGTTAAACTCCAGACAGAAACACAGCCCTGACTGCTGAGGCAGAGCAGGCAGCATGGTCTGTACTGCCCCACAGTACTCTAGGCTGGGATTGTAACTAGCAGAGAAAAAAAATGATGTAAAAATGGTGTTTTTATATGATGCTGAGAAAGCAGAATGGATGGTTGAGACCTATTCTAAAATGAGGGAATGCGTGTCTTCTTCTGTACTTACTAGAGAGGCACCTTCTGTACAGGGAGAATTCCCTTCAAAAAAATCCAGTAGTTCAGGATTTAAACTTGCATGCTTTTATTTGATCTGAATTTCTTGACCTGTCTTTTGAAATAGATGTTCTCACAACATTGTGGAAAAATTGCAGACTCCAGAACTCCCTTTCTTGAATGTTTCTTTCCCTGTAACATTCTGACTCCTGTACAACGAGCTAGTCTGCTTAGCAGGGGAAAAAAACAACTAAACCAACAAAAAAACTCCAAGAAAAACACCGGACACCCCCAAATGGGACTGAACTGGTTTTAATCCAGTGGTTTGTGATCTGGGCCAGGAGGAATACTCTGTACCATGCATGTTGTTCCCAGAGTGGGTAGACACAGCTGCTTTGGACTCCCAGAGCTGCTCTCGGCTCTGTGTCCCGGCTGTTTGCCTGGAGCACTGTTTGAGCTCCTTCTCCAACAAACAGCCCCAGTGCAGGGGCCTCTCTTGGCAGGTGGATATGGAATGTTCAGATGGTCCTTTTGAGGAGAGCTCCAGGGGTTCCATGGCTCCACGAGGTCACAGTGCAGTGCTGGGTGCTCAGTGCTCTGTCAGCACTCGTGCAGTAGGTGCAGGTTTGCCCTGGATCCCCTTGGGCTGCACACGAGGCAGAGGGGCCCGAGTGCCCCCAGCCAGGCCAGCTCTGGGACCCAGAGTGTGCCCAGGGAGCAGAGACTGAGCTGTGACTGCAGGGCCATGTCAGGTGTCCACTACAAGTTCTCCTCCAAGCTGAGCTATGATGTGGTCACATTTCATGGCCACAGCATCTCCCTGGGTGACCTCAAGCGCCAGATCATGGCCCGTGAGAGGCTGAAGGTGGCCAACTGTGACCTGCAGATCCTCAAAGCTGAGACCAGAGAAGGTGAGTGGGGTTTGGGCTCAGGCCCAGGGGCAGCAGCACAGATCAGCCATGCAGTGCCACAGGCTCTGCCCCAGGGATAAAAGCCAGGGCGAGAAAGCACAGGGTGCATATAAAACTGGCTTTGACAGCTCTAGAGGGATTCTATAACGTGCTATGGAATTCCATGCCAATATCCATTCTTCCCAACTGACTCATACTTTTTCTGCATTTGTGTTGTTCTCAGAATACTCCAATGATGCACAGATCCCAAAGAACGTCTCAGTGATTGTCAGGAGAGTCCCAGCTCGAGCTACGTGAGTATCCATGGAACACTGGATTCCCTGTGAGGGATGTCAGGGTGTGAACTTCTTTTATGGGTATGGGTTTACAGAGGCACTTGGAGTGTATCTGGTCAAAGCTGCTGTTAATTTCATTTTTCATGGAGTAGATTTTAATGTATCTGCTCCAAAGCAGATAGCTTTGCAGGGACGTGAGGTTCAAACTCCAAAACTGGTAAATCCTAAGGTGATTCTCTTGGTTGTGTTCTTGGGATTATTCTCTTGGTTGTGTTCTTGGGATTATTGGGTTGAGAGCCAAGTCACAGATCCTGTTTCCTCTGCATGAGGAGACTCCAGGTCATGTGTGTTTGCTTTTATTGGCTTTACAGTAATGACAGGTACACACTGTAACAATTACATATTATTAGAAATAAAATTTTAATGTGTTCTCATCTGAGAAGAGTCGGGTTGTCAGTATTTGACTATTTCTAGCACTGAGGAAGGTGGGTTTGGGGGACTGTGGGGTATCTGGTGGGTATCTTGCACCCCAAATTTGGGGCTTTTACTCACTGTCCATAGAAGAGAGACCAAGAATTCTGGACACCTCAGTGTTGTGCTTCTAAACATGGCTTTGGTTTGGGCTGAATGGAAATATGGATGCTCCATGCTGCCCTGTCCCAGCATGCTCCCTTTGGGGCTGGATGGCACCTCAGCTGTGGTGTGGTGCTGCCCTGCACTGAGAGGATGGATGCTGGCAGGATTCAGATCCCATCAGTTCCTGTGTGTGACCATCACGAGGCAATGGCTCTGCAGATGCAGCCATGGCAATTACCCAGGCAGAGGAGCTTTCTGTCCCTCCAGCTGAAACATGGCACAAATACCTGGCAGAGCAGCTGATGTGTGGGAGGGATGAGGATCTGATGTCACAGGGGTTGTGTGTCTGATTCCTGAGGACCTGAATCGGACACAGGTCACTGAGGATGTGGAATCTCAGCAAGTTTGCAAATGTAATAAATAGCTCCCACAATATTGTTGCATTTCAAGATCATCTGAAAGGAAATTCTGCCAATTAAGACTCTTTTTTTCCCCCCACAGAGCTCCTAAATTGCACCAACCCCTAGGAAGGGCTTCCAGGTGACCTTTCTACCACTATTTGTAGTCACTGTGGCATCTGTACCCCACTGGGCACTTTGGGCCCATCCTGGCTTAAGGATGGCAGAGATCTGAACACAGGGCTTGGACTCCCACAGAGAAACCATTCTGGAGATGGAGCTGCTGACAGTTCTGGGAGTGCTTTGGCAGAAAGAGGGATTATTTTTCACTGAAAGAAACCTGCACTCCTGAGTGTCAACACTGTCGCTGTTCTGGCTAGGAAACTACACTCCTGTGTAACTGTGACATTGTAGAAATGAGATTTTGGGGCCTTGTTTTAGTTGCACTGAAGATACCAAGAGAGAAGAGTTCATAAAAACAAATAAATTTCCACATGCACTCAACTATCAGAACATAATGGTTTGATGTTCAGATGTTCTTGTCGGTTTTCACTGCTTGATGCTGGGTCCAAGTGCTTCATTTGAATTTCTGATCACCTCTATTTCTTCTGCCAGGAACCAAAAGGAGTCAGTGAGGGGAGCATCCAAGGCAGTATGTAACACCCCAGCCTCACACTTCTTCCTACACACCGCACTTCATTCTAAACAGTGCAGCCTTGTATTAATTTTCTGAATATTGGACATGAATGTGGTTTAATGCTTTTGTGAACAGATTGCTGACTCTTCTGCCTCTTTTTCTCTGGCCCAGCTCATTAAGGTATAGAGATATTCTTTGTCAAATACGTAAAAAATATCCTTTGCTTAGTCTTTTAAAATCTTACACTGTGATCTACAGCTGAATAATTGTGGTAATGTGATCAAAACTGTATTTTTAGTAATTTTTTAGTAATTAAGTAATTATTGTAGGTTTAAAATGCATGTATGTTTTGATGCTATCCTGGAAAGAGAAGTTCCCAGGTTGGGAAGTGGGAAGGGGAGCACCTTATCAGCCCCAACATAATGTTGCAGCATTCAAGAACTCTTCTTCAAGACCCAAAGCAGCAGCACTTCAGCACCTGTTTGCCATTTTGTATCATCGGTTTTGCACTGGAAACTAACAGTTTGTGTTGTAGAAATGTGTACAGAAGAACTGAACTGGCTGTAAGCTATGGACATTTCAGGGAGGTTTGCAGCAGCCAAATCAAACTTCTGGAACAAGAATACTTGTGAGGTTTGAATTTTGAATTTTTGGCCATGACAGCTATAGATCCATTCCTTGGTTGTTCACAAATTGGGGTCTGGGAACAGTGGACAGCACATTCTCCTTTGTTTGATTGCAGACAGTGTAAATGTTTTTGGTATTGTTATTACTTTGTAAAAAGTGCCATGTTTGAATTTGGGTCTATTCCTACACGTGTTTTGCTGGGGTTTGGTTGTGTTTTGTAAACCATTTGGGTTCAAGCACATTGGTTATGTGTCTGTAAATTTCTCTGTAAATGCTGATGGATATTATTCTAGAGCAGTGGATCTGGATCATGTTCCTGTACAGAAAAGCACTCTGTCAATGAAACACCCATTTATTAAATCTCTGAGTTGGTTGCTTTTGTGAAGGAATATCTGTGAAAGCAAAACCTCAAGAGGTTGATCTCTCCTGGGCTGCATGGAGGCTGTTGTCTTTGGCTATGGAGTCTCCAACATGTTCTTCATGTGTATGTCCAACCCTCCCTGTCACACAGACCCCCAATCTGGCTGAGGCTGATGCTGCAGAAGAGGACAAGATCAAAGCCATGATGATCCAGTCCTGCTGTTACTATGAGCCCCTCAAGTAAGTGTTGGTAAGGTCAAATGTGGTCTTGGAAGAACATGGAAAAATCACATGTTTATTCCTTGTTTGAACAAGGGACACACATTGCTACCACCCTCTTTTTTCACTCCTGAAAACTTGCAGTGACCTGAAGACACCTTTGGGTCCTGTTCCATCATCATCTGCCAGCCCTGTTCCCAGGCTTAAAAGGAGCTCAGGAATTCCCATGAGTTTTATGGTGGAGGTGAAGGACCCCAACACAAAGGGAGCAATGATTACACCCAGTGGGAAATATGCCATCCCAATTATAAATTTGTAAGTATGGAATTCATTGCACTGACCAAAAGTGGCCGAGAGAAGCTATGTGGAAACATCTGAGTGGCAAAGCCACCACACTGGCCACCACCTGCCCTTGTGGGGCAGGGAGCATTGCCACTGTAGCTGATCCATCCCAGAGGTCATCTAAAAATCCCAGATTCCATAAGCAAGGAAATAACAACTGCAGGACAAGAACAGGACAAATCTATTGTCCTGAGGCAGCAATGCAGGGAGTCCAAAATCCATCTGTAGCTCTGGAAGTTCACTGGGCACAGGAGAGGGGACAGAGATGGACCCCCTGGATGCTTTTGCACTCACACAGTAGCTGCTTTTCCACAGTACCAACTTCTTCCATGGGCAGCAGTGTCATGGCAGCAGCTGAGAGATGCTTTGATATGAGCATATGCAGAGGAAAGAAAACACCCAAACCAAATTTCGAAGGAAAACAACTGGGCAGAGGGACAGTTTTGAATTAACTACATCGTGTCCTTCTTTCACCCCATACAGAACACAACATTCACAGCCAAAGTCTCCAGCTGGAATGGAACCTCCAATGAAAAAAGTGAAGAAGGCAGAGAAGCCAGTTTAATTCTCATTCTTCATTCATGTTCTGTATTAATGTTCTCAAATATTTCTTCTTTCTTGTTCTATCTTCCTATTCTGATTTTGTTGTTCTCTATTTATTACTCTTATTTCATGTTCATAATTAATTGTTCACTTACTGTTCTTAGTTCTTCTTCATTGTTCTTATTTCATCTTCCTACAATCTCTTGAAAGACATATTTGGACAATAAACAACACAGTATTAAAAGGAACTTACTTTGCTATACTTTTCCCAAGATGTGCTGCTTATTACAAGCCTTGTCGTGTCACTGGAAATTAACTTGATTGGTCACTACTGCAGAGAGCTGCCTTTAATGCTGGTCTTCTTTCTCATACTGTATGCAACAAAAAGCTCAAGAAATCAGGGATAAAAAATCATCCTAAAAGATGAAAAAAAAGAAACAGAGGCAATAGTGATTAAAGACATTAAAGCTAAGATGTGCCACAGAGGAGTTGCAGGAGCCTCCCATATTCACATCTGACAAAGAACAGCAGAAGGTGGCTGACATGGTCAGGATGCAGGAACTATATTCCCTTCCCATGTTGTCAGGTTTCCCAATCCTTGAAAGGAGATTTGAGAGTCCTCTATGGTTTATTTCCTCCACTGGCTCATAAGTCAGCTCTCATCCCCTCAGCAAAACATCACTGCCATAGAGCTTTGAGGCAAGAAGGACTAAGGGTGAACAGAGCGT